ATAGTAAAATGGTGACTCCTGCACTTGGGACACAGGATGTACGGTTACACATTGTATGGATTATTTGTAGTCTCCAGAGCGCTCAAACCAATAAAGGTGAGCCTTGCGTTAAGCGAAAGCGGTGAACGGTACCATACGATGTACGGTTATGTATACATAAAAAATGAAGGTTTCTCCGGATTGTTTTAAAAATTATTTTATTGAGCTTTCGACTCGTTGGTTCGAGCCTTCATCAGAATGAGGAATTACTATTTACATGTGCTTTTAGCTTGTAGACGCTTAGAGCGTCTAATTGCATTAGCGGGTGGATTAATGTGATTGGATGGGATGAAATGCGTTGCCATGGGTTTTGGTGTATTGTTAATATGATCGGTGTTAATATGATCGGTGTTAATATTATTAGAGCGTAATATACAAAGTGTATATACAATGTGCCTCCCGGCTATCACCATATTATAATGGTGACTCCTGCACTTGGGACACAGGACGTACGGTTACACATTGTATGGATTGTATTGTGGAGTTGCCACAGTGCTCAAACCTATAAGGGTGAGCTTTGCATATCGTGAACACGGTGAACGTCTCCATATGAGACTCTCACAATCCGACAGTGCCCAAACTACGCACGCGCAGTGAGCGTAATATACAAAGTGTATATTCAATGTGCCCTCCCGGCTATCACCATATTAAAATGGTGACTCCTGCACCATCATAAAATTAAATTTATTACTTAGACGACTTTAAAATAATCTCCTCTACTAACGATTCTTATGAACTCTCTATTCATGAAAGCCTTCTAATCAATAAATACAAGCCTTCACTTAATGTGCCAGGAAACTCCATTCCACTTAACCTCTTTTAATTTCCCTTTATTTTACTTCATAACTTCCTTATCATATATCAATTTGACACCGCCTCCTTTAGTAGTAATTTAACACCTTTTTGTAAATATAATATCTTGTCTTAACATCCTATTTATTATTTGTCTGAAGATGCCTTGAGTAAATACGAAACGTTGCAATAAATTTAATTTTACAACTCGTTTTTTGGTGTATTTCTATGGCTCTAATCAAAACTTTATGTTGGGCATTAATTTTTATCACACGAATTCGATTTCCGCTCGGCAAGTCTCTCGCTACTATTTTCAATCGGAACTCTTGAATTTCTCGCGGCATAGCCGAAAGGAATAGGCATAAAATAAGGATACTCATCTCCATCATCACAGCTATTTTGATTTCTTCCTTATAAAAAAAATTAAAACAGCTCAAACATTGTCACGGATATTACGAGTGGCGTAACAAAATGTTGATGAATTTGATAAGCATTTGTCAAAACAAGCTTAAGAAAGTAAAAGCATGCAAAATTATGTGACTGAAAATTTGCTAAGCGCATGTACAAGTACCAATTTCAGAGCTTGCTCTGTCACAAATTAATTGAGAATTAATCTTAGCATGCGTAGTTAACTCCACAAAATCTCCAGGTACATGGTCATGGCAAGGACCAACTGTATGTACTAGCAAAGATTATATAGTAATTAGCTTCGCTCTGTCACAAATTTTCAGATAAAACATCTGCGCATGCGCAGTGTGCATAAGCATGCGCACCCGACATGACCAGCTGCACAAGTTCATGGTCATGGCAACGACCGACTGCATCTACCATTGAGTTCTATAAGACCTGGAGGGGACACGTCAACCAAATTACTATAAATTATTAGCGCGTCTTAAAGAACTCAATGGCATCTACTAGCACCGACTTTGAAGTAAATACCACACTTAGTAACAATTTAATAGAGAAATCAACTGCGCATGCGCTGGAGCATATGCACCCCACTTGAATAATTTTTGATCGTCATGGCAACGACTAACTATATGTACCTGCTCTATATTTGTGGCAATTAACACACTTAGTCGCAAAATATTAAAAAATCATCTGGGCATGCGCAGTAACGATGTCAATCATACCACAACTTTCGTAAGCCTTTAAATTTGTGTATATATATATACAGCTAAAACTTCATATAGTAAATGTCAACTAGCAGTGGAAACTGGGTGCGATATAGTATGCAGTGGCTTAGGGGCCCAGACTTCGGTGGCGACGTCACTCTCCTGCGTACCCCGAGCAAAGCCTATCGCAGGTGATCTCGGGTCTGATGGGCGGAAGCTTGCTATTGGCATCTCCCAAGTAGGATAGCGTGGAGGGGCCGAAATCTCCTACCGAAACGTTAACATGCGGCGTTCTAGTGCCTTGCGCTTAAGAAGGTATCGGGAAGCATGGACCGAAAACGGGGTTTTTTGCTTTCGAATTTTATCTTTTTGTTTTCATATAAAATAAACCAAGCAATGTTTCAATTAACTTCTTCCGACACTTATAATTTAAGACAACCTTAAGCATGTTTTATACAATTTTTATTGGTTTATATCTTTCTCATTTAACTCTCTCATTTACTGTTTCTCATATATCACGAGTAAACCATCCATGGGCTTCATGGCATACAAGAATTATCTGATTCCCTTAATTAACATGCGATGCTATATTGCTCAACTATCTTGGGGTAACGCGAGGGAGGCATGGACCGAAAACGGGATGTTTTGTTTTCAAAATTTGTCTTTTCTCTTTACAAGTATTGTTCTCATAAAAGAAACTAGAACATCCAAGGATACTGTAAAGATTCAAACAACTTCTGCCTTTTTCACTTATAATTTGAAGCACTCTAAGCATGTTTATACGTTTTTTACTTGTTACCTTTTACAATGTAACTTTCTCATATTTCTCTTGTGATGAACGAGAGCCTGCTTATACAATGACTGTCTCATTATAAACGAAAGCACCCGTGGGCTTCATGGAAAAAAGGGATTATCTACTTTTTTATAATAGTTTCTACAAAGATAACATTTAATAAGACAAGCAGTTTGTATCGTCTAAATTGAAACTCGCTTTTAACCATTATGTTATAAAACATTGATTCATTTTGGATAGTAAATTTCTTTTTACCTTACAATATTTTCTTGATTCAATCTAGAAAGTAACTTCTTCTCTTCTCGAGTAATTTTGCGATTAAACAGCACAATTTCAGGATTCAAAGGATTTCTTTTTATCACATAGAAACAGCCGTCCAATTTATTACGTACCTAAGCTTATATAAAGTATATCCAAATCACAAACGAAACTACCTTCACATGACCAAATTACTGTCCATATAAATGATGTATGTAATAAAAAGCTACCTTGAAAACTTAAGAAACCCTTCTTTTCGCAATCATCTGCAACACCTCAAACTCAATCGGAACTCTTGAATTTCTCGCAGCGTAGCGGAAAGGAATAGGCATGAAATCAGGATACTCATCTCCACCATCACAGGTATTTTGATTTCTTCCTTACAGAGAAAAATAAAAACAACTCTAACATTGTCACGGATATTACGAGTGGCGTAACAAAATGTTGAAGAGTTTGATAAGCATTTGTCAAAACAAACCAACACCAAAATTAATACCAAAATCAATACCAAAGTCAGCACCAACACCAAAATTAATACCAAAATAAACACTAAAACCAGCTCCAACACGAAAATCAATACCAAAATTAACACTAATACCAAAATCAATACCGAAATCAACACCAACACCAAAATCAATACCAAAGTCAACATCAAAGCCAACACTAATACCAAAATAAATACCAAAACCAACACCAACACCAACACCAACACCAACACCAACACCAACACCAACACCAACACCAACACCAAATCAATACCAAAATAGTTTTTGTCCAAAAAGTTTCTTAACATATTACACAATTCTAAAATATTACACATTAATGCACAATATTATTTATAAAACGTGTTAAATATCTTTCTTGACACTACTATGTCAACAAATTTTGTTCTCATGCAGCATTAAACAAGCATGAAAAGAAGCCAATGTTTCATAATTTCAGTAATAATTTCAACAAAAAATATTGTCCACTTCAGCAGTTGGTTATGGATTGTTCTGAATAGTTTTCAATCCTGTTGAATTATCTTAGTTTAAATTATCTAAAAATTTCCAACCAACGATTTGGATAGCACATATCACAGCATTTTTGAATTATGTTCTTTTTTGTAGCACACCAAGATATCTCTATCTAATTCAAAATTACGTGTACATCATTCTGTTCTAAGACATCGGCCAACATCATGGCAAAGTTAACTACAAACTTTGTCAAGATTTATCTATCAGTTGACAGACATACCATAGGCGGCCCAATAAATCACTTAGCTAAATTGTATAAACAAACGATAACTCACCCCATTTCATTGTAACAGACCGTGCGCTGCAAAACTTTGTATTAATTGATTATATATATATATATATATATAAAGTGTATAACAATGTGCCCTCCCGGCTATCATCATAGTAAAATGGTGACTCCTGCACTTGGGACACAGGACGTACGGTTACACATTGTATGGATTGTATTGTAGAGCCACCACAGTGCTCAAACCTATAAAGGTGAGCTTTGCATATCGCGGACACGGTGAACGTCTCCATATGAGGCTCTCTACACAAGACAGTGCTCAAACTACGCACGCGTAGTGAGCGTAATATACAAAGTGTATATACAATGGGCCCTCCCGGCTATCACCATATTAAAATGGCGACTCCTGCACTTGGGACACAGGACACAGGACAAATCGGAGTAGTCTTGATGTCATTTCTGATGTTCCGTTTATATAGGGCAATGTCACTATTTTTACTGGTTCGTCTGTATCTTCGTTAGGTTTTTCAGCTTGTGGTTTGTTGTGTATTTTGTTTAATATTTTGTTGATAAAGTTTCGTGGGTAATTGTTGTTTATGAATGTGGAGTATAAGTAGTTGCGTTCATTCTTCTTGGCTTCTTCTGTATTGCAGTGGGTTTTAATCCTGTTAACTAAGAGAGTTCATATGCAACTCATTTTGTGTTGTGTTGGGTGATTACTATTAAAGTTGAGTATTTGGTCTGTGTGTGTTTTTGCGGAATACTTGTGTGTTTAATGTGCCGTCATGTGATCTGGTAAGTAGAGTATCTAGGAAGGTAAGTTGTTTGTTCTGTTCTTTGTCCATGGTGAAGGTTATGTTCTGTGTGGTGTTGTTTATTGTGTGTAGAATGTGTTCTGTTTTGTCTTTCTCGACGATAGCAAAGATGTCGTCAACAAATCTTCTCCATAGTCTGATGTGTGTGTTGTTAGTGACTGACTGCTTTTCAAGGTGTTGCATAACAGCTTCTGCAAGGAAGGTGGATAAAGGAGAACCCATTGGTGTTCTTGAGATTTGTCGGTAATACGAATGTTGGAAGGAGAATTCAGTGGAGAGGCAGAGCTCGAGCAGGTCGATGATATCGTCTTGGTCTAGTTCGGTTGTGATTTTCCACGAGTTGTTGTTAGTAAGTAGTTGGTTTGTGACTTGTTTGGCTATGTTTAGTGGTATGGATGTGAAAAGTGACACTACAACATAAGATATCATGATTTCGTTTGGTTTTAGTTTTACATTTTTAATATTAGTGAGGAAAGTGGTGGCATTTTTGATAGTATGATGTAATGATTTGACTAGTGGGTGCAGAATATTAGAAAGATATTTTGATAATTCATACGTTGGTGATTCAGGAAGAGATACAATCGGTCGTAGCGGGTTTTCTTTGTGAATTTTTGGTAGTCCATAGAATTTGGCGGTGGAGGAGTCGTTGGGTCGGATTCTTTTGTAGACGGTTTCGTTAAGTTTCTTTTTGTCTTTTAGTTGTTTTAATTTCTTGTTGATGCGGTTTGTAGTGGTTTTGTTGAGGTCTGTTTGGAGAGGTTCATACGTGTTGGTGTCTTGTAAGAGGGTCTTCGCTTTGTTGATGTAGTCTGATTTGTCCATGATTACGTTGTAAACGTTCTCTGGTATTGAAGAAATACGTTGTAAACGCGACAGGCCAATTTGAAACACTGTTCTACACTTTATCTTCACAAACATTTAGTTTGCTGTAACGTTTCACACGCTAAGTAGCTCTAATTGAACACAAAATACACTACAGCTACCCTCAATAAGAAAATGCAGTGTTTCCCTGTGCTTACCTTTTATTTAGCGATGAATGTCGTCATAATGAGAATCGTAATGAATCGTAATGAGAATAATTCTCTGCTGTCAAGAAGAACATTATTTTAAAACATTAAAGACAACAAGTGGAAACACAAATACAAAAATGGACTATGGAGGATAAAGTTTTTAGATATCATGGTTAAATAAAACTAGCGAAACTTTCAATAAAAGATCACTCCTGACAAATCATAAGACTGGAGCATATAGTGACTCAAGTTTCAACATTCGATCACTCCTGATGAAGACACTACGCTAGAGTATATGTAAACTTATCTTTCAACAACATATCGTTCATGCTCAAGATATTAGACTGACGTACGACAATCTCTAATGTCATATAAATCTCGATAAAAAATCTGGTCCCCGGAGTTGACATGCTATCAGATAGGCAACAAACAAAGATGAGATAGCTGTACAAACCTGTATTATCGCAGCAAAGCTTCAAATCTTTAACAAGATGATTATAGATGTATAACACGAAAATAGCGATCAATATTAGTAAAGTTGGCTTAAGGATGTAATTTAATGTAAATATACGTTGAAATTAAACAGTTACAATTAACTATATCGTATAAATATCCTTCCCTATTTAAGATAATGTACACATTATCCTCAATAACGAACTATACACATTGCTGCATTTGACCTCGGTGTGTTGGGAAACGTCATGTAAGGAGTCTCAAAGTACCAATATAAATTAGCAAACTTTGTGTGACTTAAATTGAGCAATAAAAAATCTTAATCTTCAACAAAGCATATGGATTTCTATGAATGTATATACAATCGTTAAAAGATCACGCTTGCACGCTTTTTCTTCACCAACTGAGCAAAGATTCTCTTTTTCTTTGAACTGCTTGTCAACAATCATTGAAAGATTATTCAAAACTCTTCTGAGGTTATCGTTTGTGCCTATTACGTAGGTTTGAGGGACAATATAAGTACATGCATGTTGAAGGCTTTAATTCGTATTACTTACTTTCGAATACAGCATGTGCAAGGAATGGTAGTTTACGAAGAGTTCGACCACTTAGTTGATAACTTTTCTAAAAAGAAAATGAGAGAAAGAATACTTCGTAGGTTTATCACAGTGAGACGCTTGACTGCTCCTTGCAAGTTCAAAAGGAGAAGGGCCTCCCAAAGAAACCTAACCAAAAGTCAACCAATATTCGTGATTATTTGAGAGTGGTCCATTACTTGATAACTACTGACTACGATAACAAAGAAAAAACATCTTTACGCCTTAAATGTGGATGTAACACAAAGTTAAATTTAATTTATGTTGCAAGTATTAAGACGGTATATTTTAAACCTCAGTCCCAAATTATTTGAGAACTCATCTCAACATGCACAAACAACTCAACAAACTGTTCGAGTTTACAATCATGGCAATGACAAACAGAACAAGCTTGCATCTTTCAGTGGTTCACTTGGTCACATATTGGGAAATCATAAATTTCAATCATAATGAGAAATTTAGTCATTTAACAAATTTTCAATTTCATAGTGATGGCAACAACAAGCTGGATCTATTTTCATCGCTTTCTGAGTAATTAATCGCTTGGTCACAAAAATATAAGAAGATCATCTGAGCATGCGCAGTACGCTTGGGCATGCGCAGCACGCTCAAGCAAAGTCCACTTGACCAATTGTCCGAGTTGATAGTCATGGAAAGACCAACTGCATTTACTAGCATCAATTAAGGAGTATATAACTTGCTTATTAACAAAGTATTAAAGATATCAACTGAGCATGCGCAGTTAAATTGATTGGCTGCCAATGTTCATGGTCATGGCAACGACCAATTGCATCTACTAGCCCGATTTTGAAGTAAATAGCATGTTTAGTAACAATTTAACGGAGAAATCATCTGCGCATGCGCTCGAGCATGCGCAGCCCACTCGACTAATTGTTTATAGTCATGGCAACGACTAACTAGATGTACTTGCACTACATCTGGGGCAATTATCCCACTTAGTCGCAAATTATCAAAGAAATTATCTAGGCATGCGCAGTTGTGACTTTAATAATACCACAACTTTCGTAAGCCTCTAAATTTTGTATATATAAATATAAATCTATAGCTTAGCAGTAAGCTGGTATATGTAGTAGCAACTAGTGGAAGCTGGGTGCGATATAGTATGCAGTGGCTTAGTGGTCCACACTTCGGTGGCGACCGCACTCTTCCTGCGTACCCCGAGCAAACCCTATCGCAGGTGATCTCGGGGTCTGATGGGCGGAAGCTTGCTATTGCATCTCCCAAGTAGGAAAGCGTGGAGGGGCCGAAATCTGCTACCGAAATGTTAACATGCCGCGTTCTAGTGCCTAAAGGCTGAAACACATTAGGCAGTCGCTTTAGTCGCGCGTCTAAAACTACCGCTTTGCGTGGTTACTAAGCTAGTAGCGTAGTCGCGTCAGCTAGTCGCTTTGAAAGTTCAACATGTTGAACTTTTGACTTTGGTCGCTTCAGTTTTACACTGATTGGCCAATAGATACATTTTAACTTCCTAAATGCATATCATATTTCCTGTCATAAACATCATACGAAATTTATAGATTATACCTTGGAAAACGAAGGCAATATATAGTGAATGCAAACTGGAATCTTTCAGTTTTTATATGACTTATCAAATTTATATGACAGAGCTCTACATACACAATTAAGGACAAATATAAGAAGAGAAAAAACACCGTCAATTTTCGTCAAAATAAAATTTCGTGTATTTTTTCAGTTGTACCTTAAATCCAAAATTTGAGTGGCTGGTGATATGATACTGGTCTGTGATGAAACGGTGAACATTAATTTTGATTATTAAAAATTATCTACAATGCAATCGTTTGCAATCAATTTCTATATAGCTGCACACCTCTCTATTTAAGCAACATGTTTGTATAACTTGCACAAACGACTATATTGTGGTATGGAAATAAAGCAGTAGACGTAAAGGTACAAAGTACTGAGAAGAGGGATATACTTCACGAGGCAAATTGTTGTTTTATATTGTATATGATGACAGGTTGCGGTAAGCCATTTCGGCGTTCCTTTGGCCAGAAAACATAATTGACCGGCAGCCATTTCGTTGATCACGTGCACAAGAAGACATAAGTTACATACAAACAAATAGTGCTGTTTCAACTATATTTTTTCTTATCCTGTGGTAAAACATTGAATACCCTACCCTTACAAGTTCCTTGATGCAAGAATGGTAAATTCTTTGTAAATAGCTTTGGCTGATGGCGGACCAATATACTGTTTGATGTCGGCTCTGTGGGCGAACAAATAGCGAAGTTAGATGAGAAAGTGAATTAAAAAACTTTCGAGTCACAAACATATTTTTCAACCTGTCCACGAACGCAACGTCTATGGCTCTAGTTATGTTCGATGTTGTCAATATAATTACATTAGGATGTCTGAAATAAGAAGAAAACAACATTGGGGAAGACTAGGTTTAGCAAATAAACGCATAAATGTAGTTCAAATCAAGACTTCTGTAAATACGTAATTGATAGATAATAAGTATTTGACTGAGCAAAGTTGTCATCAAGCAGGTTTGTTCATGTCATATAAATATTTTCGTACTTTTACTCCCTGTAAAAGCGACAACTTTGTAGAGAAAGAAATAATACATAGTTCTAAACAAAGCAAATACCATAGTGAATGGTAAATGTAATATAATAAGTTGATAAAGACTGTTGTCTTGGAATTATAAATATCGGTAGATTGTAAATTTTCATTTAGCAGACGTTGACACCTGAGGAGTAGTCTGCCGAAATGCATCGTGTCGTTTAATTTAGAACTATTGGGTTAGTGCTCTTTACTTACAACAGTTCTTGTAAGAACTATCAACTTATTATATTACTTTTACCATTTACTATGGTAATTGCTATCTTTAGAACTATTTTCAGATTTGTCACCACGACAAAGTCTCTATTTTATTAAATAATACATAACGCAACAACCCTGCCGGCTGGCCTCGCCGTTCATATAACCGAATACAATCTCTTAGTTCACTAAAAAATCCATGAGAACGCAATGTTCGCCGAAATGCATATTCTGCTTATATTTTGCATTTACCGTTTTATATGGTCAATTTGAGGAGAAATGCATTCACAACACGAATGGCATCTGAAGGTTCTTGTCCGTTCAACGCAGATTTTCTTGCCGATGTTAAACTTTCAACCTTCAGAAGTATAAGCAATGGATAGCAAAGGTATTTTCCTCAAACATTATCGACAAGCGTACATGTGCTTCGGGTATTTCGTGAAACAAGAAACACAAATAGTAAATGATTTCTCATCTATCTGACCATGAGCATTAAGAAAGAAATGTTTAAGCAAAGTTTACCTCGTCGATAAGAACGCAAACTAAAGCTTATTTGTCGTCAATAAACTCTTGAATTTTCTGAAACATTTTCATCACTAACTTTCCACTCTGTTTGTAGGGAAGATAATGTCAATGTACATTTTAAATTACAGATGCTATTTTCAATTGATATGATCATTTTGTGATACGGAACTAGATTTATTAACTTCAACGACATCTCAATCCCAGGTATATAAATGTCAGTTTTCTAAACTGATATTTTGATGTGAGCCGTGCATTTTACATTGACAGGGGGTGACGACAAAGGTTTCACGGAAAATTTATGGCAATGTAATTTTGGTTCCAGAGGATTTTCGCACTCGGTGATGTTGCTTTGAGCTATTCAAAATGATGCCTACCTCGGAAAATAAACTGTGAATGTTTATTTCAATAAGCTGGCCATAGTTAAATCTAAGGATTCAAAAGTAGAAACACACTTTAATTTATAGTTCATAATCCTTAGGTAGACGACAATTTCATTAAAATCAAAGTAAAGATAATGCCAAAAGAACATCTTGTAAACTTAAATAAAGTTACAAAGCAAAACAATTGAAAGTGTAATATTTACATTTTAATCGTCTTGTTTTCTAAATTTGATGTTGAGTTTACAACATGTCCTTTTTCGGATTATACTTTGTATTTATAATTCACGACATAACAATAAAATTACGTGGCAATATTAGTTGCAGTACACACATGGATAGTAATGGATTGCGATTTACGTAACATCAAAATAAAATGTAGTGTTTTTACCTTTTAGAAAGTCGTATGGATAATTTTTGAGCAAGCGCCTTGCATAAGGATGTTTCACCAGTACCGGTTGGCTCTGTGAAAGTTTTAAAGTAAAGCTCAACTCATTCTTCTGGATATTTGCAGTAGATCACGTGAAGACAAACATGATGTACTATGAGTGGTAAATGCTGGTGTTTGATTGGCTTTTGTTTGTTTTCGAGTGACATCACAGAGGTACACAAACATGGTAGCCTTGACGTCATTTCATAGTTGGCTCGTTAAAACACCATCACGTCTCTCGCGTTTCATTCTATATGATTGTAGCTAACTTATTCTTATCAATACTTTGATATGTGATTTTCCAATCTGGAATGTTATGAGTGATAAGAGATTTACTCCGTTAAGATGAGAGTTGTTACAAAGTCAACACACGCAAAAATAGAATCTAATTTGATTCGTAAAAAGATACACGTGATGGACGATGACGCAAGGACTCACGTCTGGTTACCAAGGAAACTAACTTACCATGCAATAAGATAACTTTATTTCACGAGATGATGTTGAAATCCACGCCTCTAAAATATGATTCAAACACGTGACTAATATATACTTTGAAATGTCATTGTTTGGGAGTGATTTTAAAAGATGGAAAACGGACGATTTTGCAATTTGGCTTCTCTAAAAGTCTTCAGTTCAATAGTTTCATTTCACACGACAAACCTGTCGGAGAAGAGAAGTGTCGTTGCCGCATATTTTAGCAACTAAAAAATAAGATAAAATGAGATACATGAAATATCATAGTCATGGCACGACATATACTTTCGTAAATAAATTAGAACAACAAAATTTTTAACATTTTTAATCGATATAACTCGCTAGAATTGCTGAGATGTGTATTTTAATGTTTACTAAGTAAGCTTTGTCACCACTACGGTGCACAATGTCATCGCTTGCGTAAACCTTTTGAAAATATTAGAGATTAATAAGTTAGCAGATCAGTAACTCCGTTGATCAGTAACTCCAAGTACATAATGTACATTGGAAAATAGGAGAAATTAGGAAAATCCTTAAAAAATCTATTTGACGTTTTGACAGCTAACTGTTTAAACGTTAACTTATTTCGGCGCTAAAGACGTCCTTAACAAGCTACAATTTAAACTTCGCTCACGAGAGAAATCATTAAATGACTTCATTTAAACTTCGCTCAGACCTGGGACTGAAGTGAGTTGACCACCTGCAGGCAAAATTTACCCACCTGTAGGCAAAATTTACCCACCTGTAGGCAAAAGCCAGTTGTCTGGAGCAGATATATCATCCTCAAGTTCTTCATATCCATGCCCCCCATCATGAAGTTGATAGACATGATACTTTAGCATAACTTTTTTCAAATCAATTATCTGTTAAAAGAATTATGAAGGTTTGACAGAAATATGTACTTCATGTAAATCTTCATTATCAAACTAAGTCAATCCTCTAAGAGTTCTTGCATTTTCTTTTCCGTGGGGTTCAACAAAAGGGATGTGTGAAATACCAGGGTGTGAACAACCTACTCTCACACATGCGAAAGTAAATATTGTCTGATCATATGGTCAATAACCTTGCCATATGTTGAAAAATTATCTGTGTCATACACAATAGTTATGCTCTTGACATGTTCCATTAAAAAGGATCAACAAATTCTACGAAACATGAGTCGCCATGAATTGTTTTCATGTTGATAAGAAAGTCTTTGACAAGCTTTATAATTCTATACTCTGGGATAGTGCTAAAATAAAGTGGTAAATACTATTAAGATGTTAATGCTTATTATCAAATTGAATAAATGGTTTTGTTCACGTTTTGACAGCACAGTGGTATTTGAAGAAGTGAGTCTGTTGAAGCACAACATATGACCAGTGACGTCAATCTAGTAACATATTAAAATTATTCAAGTTTCTTTACAAAACAAAAACATGATTTGTTCATTACCTAGTTTCACCTGTAGCATGGTTTCACTAACAGACTCACTCAACTAGATTATTACATGAAATGCAATTCAATATCCTTCTGCATACAGTCTTTTGTTCTTTTTATGAACTAACCTTTCTTTGCATTCATTTACTTCGACGTTTAAGAATGGCTGACTTGGTAAAGGCAGTGCTTCAGAAAGTTCTTGAACTTTATCCATTTTAACGATATTGCTTTAGTTAGAGATGTTATACAAAAGATTATTCACAATATTGGCTGTGTAGGAAAAAAAAGTTAAATATCTTTGATATGTAGAAATAAAAAATAAATATCGTTTCAATTTCCCGCTATGAAAGTCAAAGTCAGACTCAGGCATAACAATAACATATATATCTTTTATCTTGTTTCAGCTTTCAAAAAAACTTTATATGTTCTTTAAAATATTATTTGTCTTTCAGTCTTTTACAAAAGATATGTGGAGAGAAATATTCTTGCGGGGAACGAATGCTTGTGAGCAGGGGCGGATCTAGGATTTTCCAAACGTCAGTCCTAAACCGGCGAACGCCGGAGGCGTTTGCCCGTAAGGGGTCCGAGGGCATCCCCCCTGGAAAATGTTGAAGCCTAGGGTCCCAGAAATGCGATTTCCAGCGTTTTCGAATAGCTTTACAACAAATTTTCAAAGTGAATGAAATCGCAGTTTTTCATTTTTTTCTTACAAAATATTGAGGACAAACACACTAAGACCGTTTCGCCCAATGTCAGGGCTCTTCAGAATGTCTAGGAAACACATAGTGCAAAGCAACAATGTGATTCCGGACATGGACAGTCTTTGATTTAGCAGCAACGGCGCATTAAGCAGCCTGTTGTGCTGTCTTAAATTTTTGCAGCAACGGCGCATTAAGCAGCCAGTTGCACTGTCTTATTTCTGCAGCAACGGCGCATTAAGCAGCCAGTTGCACTGTCTTACATTTCTGCAGCAACGGCGCATTAGCAGCCAGTTGCACTGTCTTACATTTCTGCAGCAACGGCGCATTAAGCAGCCAGTTGCACTGTCTTCATTTTGCAGCAACGGCGCATTAAGCAGCCTGTTGTGCTGTCTTAAATTTTGCAGCAACGGCGCATTAAGCAGCCAGTTGCACTGTCTTATTTCTGCAGCAACGGCGCATTAAGCAGCCAGTTGCACTGTCTTACATTTTTGCAGCAACGGCGCATTAAGCAGCCTGTTGTGCTGTCTTAAATTTTTGCAGCAACGGCGCATTAAGCAGCCAGTTGCACTGTCTTTATTTTGCAGCAACGGCGCATTAAGCAGCCTGTTGCACTGTCTCACTGCAGCAACGGCGCATTAAGCAGCCAGTTGCACTGTCTTCATTTTGCAGCAACGGCGCATTAAGCAGCCTGTTGTGCTGTCTTACATTTTGCAGCAACGGCGCATTAAGCAGCCTGTTGTACTGTCTTATTTCTGCAGCAACGGCGCATTAAGCAGCCAGTTGCACTGTCTTACATTTTTGCAGCAACGGCGCATTAAGCAGCCTGTTGTGCTGTCTTAAATTTTTGCAGCAACGGCGCATTAAGCAGCCTGTTGCACTGTCTTACATTTCTGCAGCAACGGCGCATTAAGCAGCCAGTTGCACTGTCTTACATTTTGCAGCAACGGCGCATTAAGCAGCCGGTTGTGCTGTCTTAAATTTTTGCAGCATCGGCGCATTAAGCAGCCAGTTGCACTGTCTTACATTTCTGCAGCAACGGCGCATTAAGCAGCCAGTTGCACTGTCTTACATTTTTGCAGCAACGGCGCATTAAGCAGCCTGTTGTGCTGTCTTAAATTTTTGCAGCAACGGCGCATTTAGCAGCCAGTTGTGCTGTAAGACATTTCTGCAGCAACGGCGCATTAAGCAGCCAGTTGTGCTGTAAGACATTTCTGCAGCAACGGCGCATTAAGCAGCCTGTTGCAAAGTCAGTAATATTTCTACAGAAACGTAGCCATAACACATTAAGCAAATTTCAAACGTGTATTACCTTCAGCAAACTTATTGATCACTCTTTCTATGTCAGGAATAATTTCTGGGTGAATTCGCATTAAAGCCAGGCCATTTAAACGTTCCTCTACCATAGTGCTCCTTTGGTAGGTTTTTAGATTCATCAGTGCTGAAATTGATCTCTCACATTCACATGAGGTGATTGGTAGTGTACCTAAAATGCGAAGAATAACTTTAATATTTTCAAATCCCGGAAATGTTACATGCTTCAGTGTTTTGAAGATGTTTTCTGGCAAAGGCCCATTGTGCGTTTCCCAGTATAAACGCCATTGCCTTAATTCAGCATCTAAACCAAGGGGGTTGGGCAAGTCATCATGATAGAATTTTGCAACACTTTTAAACTGTTCTTTCCAATCAATTCCTTTGTCCGACAGAGTCATCATTTTGACGGGAACGATAGATAATCCTCGGTACACATTAACACTATCCAAGTTAAACCTAGTTCTCAAAGATGTTTGAAGATGGTCTAATAAAGGAATAGTGATGGTTAGTTTATAATGTTCTTTAAATGATTGACTGGGGGGATTAGATCGCATAGTTTGTCTTCCAGCAATTCGCTTTTTTGTTTCTTGAACGTTGACCTCTTCAGCAAGTTTAAAGCCTCTTCATACCAAGTGTTATGATAAAATTAATGCTTTTCCTCATGTTGGCTACATCATTCTTCAAAGTGGTTATCAAATGAAAACCATCCATAACATCAATAGTTTTTCCCTGCAACAATTGCGTGACTGGAAGAGTAGCATCAAGAATATTTCTTGTAATAACTAGCGCAACAATAAAATGAAATTGAGTAACTAATGAAAGTAACTGGGAAGCATCAGCAGCAAGGAAGGCTTCACCTCGCCGCTTACATTGTTTATCATGTCCTGAAGAGTGTCGATTAAAGGGATAAACAACTGTTGAAACGTGTCAAGACTGTCAACTCGCTCAACCCATCTGGTTTTACAAAGACTTACCAGTTTTGCCTTCTTGGTCTGAACATCTGACTTTTTAACGTGCTCAGCAAAGGGTACGTTGCGTGTCTGTGATATGTTGATAAAATTGGCAGCTTGAGAAACAACAGAAAACATGTTATTAATTTCAACGTTAGAAAGAGTGTCACAGACAGACAAATTTAGTCGATGACTGTAACAGTGAGTGTAAAGAGCTTTAGGATTAGTTCTTAAAATGTGGGCTGCTAAACCATTTATATGCCCAGAAACAGCCCTGCACCATCATAACCTTGTCCCTGCAATCCATAATGGGTAAGGCAAATTTCTCTAGAGTTTCTAAAATAAGCTTTGAAAGTTGTTCACCACTCAACCCCCATTTGCAATGCAGGAAGCACATGAACTCTTCTTTAACATTCATTGAAGAGCCAACAAACCGCAGAACAAGGGACAATTGTTCTTTGTGAGAAGAATCAGCAGCTTCATCTGCAATGATAGAATAATATCTATTTTTTTTTATCTCGTTTATAATATCTTCTGATATTACCTGACCAATACAATTGATGATTTTGTTTTGGCTGGTCTTGGAAATATAACTTTTATTCTTGCCACATTTGAGCAAATGATTTTCCAAAGTTTGATCACCAGCTCTAACTCTAAAATTTAAAGATTCAACAAAATTACCAACATTGCCATTGACTGAATAGCAACCGACCTCTGGGTGAAATTGAGCATCGTCACGATGACCTCGTAATCAATGCCAAGCCTTCCACAAAGAACTGTATCAACAATTTGTTTAAGAATTTTCCTATTTTGCTCAATTTCAAGTTTTATGTTAGTATCTAAGATATTTTCAATGGGTTGAGCTACACCTGACATTTGAGAGCATATATTATTCAAAATTGGAGAAGTAGATGCATGTAGTCCCATTTTTCCCCTTACAATTTCCAGCATGTAAGCCTAAATGTACCTACAGCATCATTCCAATGACGAAAAGGTGAACGAAATAGATTGTTTATTCTCGAGCATTTACTGGGAATTGATGTCCAAAAGAACACATGATAAGCAATAAGCACCATCTTCTTTTGGTGAATAACACAGCCAGGTAAAATCTTTGAGCCATTCATATTTAAAGACCTTTTATTGTTCTCACTCAAAGGAGGAAAAGTGTAATTTTCATCAGGTTTAAAACATTTTTAATAAGCAAACAAATATCAGACATTTTCAAACCTTTAGCTCTTTTGTAGTAGGTAGCTACATCAAAATTGTGAATAAAGTTAGGCTTTACCTGTAAATCTTCAATGGTTTGTTCAGTAACCTAGTACAAGAAACCTCACTTGTAATAATTTCTGGTTTTCCATTTTGAAAAAACTTACTGATATTCCCAGACTTTTTTCAGCTTTTGCTTTTTGAAGGCACTGGGCATGTTGGACCAGAAATTGTCTTTTAGTTTGCTAGGAAAAAACTAGAGGAACAAAATGATTAGGTTGGAAACATTGATCTGGTTTAACTATCCCTTTATAACAAAACAAAAGATGAATTGCATCGGCTGATTCTTTAACTATTCTTCTTGGACAAACAACACAAAACAACAAACAACATTTATATACCGGCCAGTATTAATCGCTAATTGACCAGTCCATGAATTTTCCACGCCAAACGTCTCTATCTCGCCATATCTCTCGTTATACCCATCGCCTTCATATCACTGTTCACAGCATCCATCCATCTCTTTCGGTCTACCTCGTTTGCGGACTCATAACATTCATATGCAACTACAATTTCAGTACTTTCTTCCCTCCTTTCCACATGCCCAAATCAAACGCTGGCGCCTTACCCAATTCTCGATACACTAACACCAACTCTTTTCTCTAATCTCTTCACTTCAATCCTATCCATCAACGTTACACCACACATCATCTAAGCATTCTCCTTTCCGTCGACGCCAATCTTCTGAAACTCTGTTTCGGCGCCCAACATCTGCTCCAAATCCCAATACTTCTAACATGCCTTATACAATTCTCAATTTTCCACCATTCCAACTGATCCACCTCCAAACTGGTCACCCATTCCCTTCCAAACTTGTCCACTCAATTCTGTCATTTAATGTTTCCCATTCCACCTTACCATTATCTATCCTTCACCACCTGCCTCGAGCATCTCCTGCCCTTCGTCTTTGCCTCATTCACTTTCAGTCCGCTGAGCTATGCCGTTTCCATTCTCGGTACCATTCCATGACTTTCTGCTGTCCGCCAAAGACAATATGTCATCTTGCATATAAACACCAGCATCCTTCTTTTCTTCTCACTTCCTCTGTCAGTACATCCATCACACAAGCAAACAGAAACGGCGACAAGACTGAACCTGATGAACACCAACTTTTACCTCAAAACACCAGATCTAACACCTTCCTCCGTAACCACCGCCTCTACACCTTCATAAGTCTCCATAACTGCCCGAACCATATTCTCTGTCACACCTTTCTTGCAGCGCGTACTCGATCACCTTTCTCAGGTCTATCAAACGCCTTCTCCAAATCTACAAACACCATATAAATTCTCTGTCCTTCTCCAAAATTTCTCCTGCAGCTGCCTCAACACAAAACACGCATCCGTCGTTCCTCTCCCCGGTATGAATCCATGCTCTTCCCCATCCGAACAACTTCCCTCAACTTCTTTCAAACACTCTCTCTACTATCTTCAGCATGCTCCATCAGCTTAATAGTCCTGTAATTCCCACATACCGTCGCTGCTCCTTTTCCTTTGTACAGCGGGACCACTAGACTCTTTCTCCATGTACTCGGCATCTTTGAGCCCCTCAAAACCTCGTTCGCTACATTACACAACTCTCTCACACACAAACAAGAGAGTTGAATATTGATTTGGGCCTTCTCTCTCCACAATCTGGGTAGTAAGTAAAAATTTTTGTCTCCAACACAGAAGAAAGAGCTAAAATGCATAGAAACGATGACCACTTTTGGTCATGGCAATTCAAAAAGGCCTCCTTTTTGACAAGATCAACACCTACAAAACCCGAATCTAGACAGTCTTGAGATACTGTCAAAGGTAAAATATTCTTTGAAGTGTTGTTGAATTCTTTATGCTGTTCAACAATTGAGGAAAATAAAGGATGTTGGCAGTAAAAAGTAGCATTCAAAAACAGCTCAAGTGATGTTAACTGCCTCAAAATATGCAATAAACTGTTATCACCTGCCAAAAGCAATGACACTGAACTGTAAAGACAGTTGCCAGATACTTCTGATCTAAATTGAACAAAAAAGTCGTTTTCCTATAAGTCCTCCAACAAAAATTTAACTAACTGGCCTGGAAATATCTAGCATCGCAACGTAGTTACATGTAGAAGATAATTCAAAGTTCAAATATAAATTCACTATTTGCTGAATTTATGCCAATATTTATAATAAAATTAAAAGCCCAAGCCGTAGATCTTTAGTATACACTGCACAAAATGAAATCTGCTTCATTAAAATTTATACAACAGTCAATAGACATAAACCACATCTCATAGTCGCATAAATTGATATTAATGGTTTGGATACCTTAAAGCCATGCATACATTTCTTTGTCCTCGTGTTGCTTACGCACGATTTTGGGCATGTAAATTTCTGCTGAGAACTCTCTGCTCAATGATGTTTCGTCTTTCAAAAGCAATGATAAGAATTCCAGTCTCGACATTTTAGTCGCCCCACAATATTCCTCATTCAAACGCAATTTCAATTCATTCAGAGATTTATCATTCTCTTGCGAAATTGCAGTCTGAACAGCAGCATACATATCAATATTTAACATTGTAGTTTGTAAACGATTTTCCAAATAAATGCAATGAAACAGATTTTACAAACCACGCTATAGTGAATCACAACGTGATGCTCTATCTCGCATTCCAGACACCACGCTTGACTATGTTAGCTCAGAAGGCTATCAGTCGAAATCGGTTAGCACTATTTTCCACCCAGCAAACCGCCCTTTACTTTACACAATCGGAAATAAATTAAAGATGGCGGCTAATGGGAAAGAACCAAAAGCTAAAGGAAACCATGCATGCACTGGTGCTAGGTCGTTTTGAGATGGCGAGTAATTTTATATTTTATAATACAGTTTTAATATGAAAATATGAAAATATTTACAGATAAATGTTGCAGTATAAATTTTCATGCAACCACCTTAAGTTATAAACTTATAACCCAGGCTGGAAAACATGTCGTTTTCGACGATTGTGTAAAATATTATATAAATATTATATTGTGTAAAATATTAGATTGTGTAAAATATTATATTGTGTAAAATATTATATTTCAAAGTAAAGGGCGGTTTGCTGGGTGGAAAATAGTGCTAACCGTCGAAATCGGTCAAACCAATCACAATAAAACAAAAATTCAAATGAGCCAATTGTAAGATAGCAATTGGACTCCTATAGGTCCGGCCACCTATTATCGGTCGAGATTATTCCAGACTGTCCACTGATCTGGACATTGACCAATAAAATAGTGTTTCTGGCGTTCATACACTCCTTTATATGTCGAACCAGTCAAGCCACCCCGCTTATCAGTCGGTTATTCCAGGTCAATTAAAATTCAACTGATCTGGTTACCAACGAGATATTCATTGGATTAGTCATTAGTTTTCAATAATAAATAAAGCTGGATTTTCATCACGAAGTAAATGCGATATTAAAGTAAGAATAATTAATGATTTTTTAATTAATACGAATAGGTAATTTTTGAATTTCAAACATCAGTCGCGCGACGGATTTGACATACTCTAGATCCGCCCCTGCTTGTGAGGTATAAAAATTAAAAAATTGTTGTTTTCTTGGAAGACGATATATAACTTTTACATGAAGTAGTTATCATGATAACGATGGTCAAATGTGGTCTTCTTTCTAAGGAAATTTCTCAGAAAATGGCCTATTTGAAGGAAATTTCTGGAAATTTCTCAAAAAATTAATTGTTTGGACAAATTCTTGGGCAATTCTTAAATTTTACAAATTTATATACACGCTTTTTAATCGTGCTTGTTTTACAATATTTACAGTTGAGTCATTTTGGAAAACTGTATAAAACAAGATGAAGCATATGAAGTAAGAACAGAAGACTTTGTTACAACGATTCCGTCATTGTAGCAAACATATCCTAGAGCTTAATCTGAGGGTGATGGCTCACCTGTATCACCATAGGATGCTTCTTGACATACGGTACACTGATAATACGTCAATCATCCCCAAAATAACTGAATAAAACCAACGTAATCCCTTCTCGTATAGAACGTCCTGTTCAAATCCAGCCAATCCAACTGTCGGAACAAAGCAATAATTTTTTTCATGAACTGTTTGAATAGAATATATCTATTTTTAATGTTGTGTCACGTGTCAATAAAGTGTTAAAGAAAACAATAAGCAAAAGTTGGAACATTAACATCTACGTAATCACAAGCATAAGCAACGAGCGTGCTTATGACTCTCGAGGGTTTACAGAAAAAAACATCAAAAATCATATTCTTCTTTTCAATATTTTATACTTCTTTCAGCTTAGGAAACAACATAAAAAATAACACCACGCTTTTTATGGGCAAATTTATTCCTAAAGCTCCTCCCACCCACTCAAAAGAGCGAAGTTACACCATTACACAGGCTTACGGAAATGTGTTAGGCATTAGCTGAAAGAAGAACACAAAAAGAACAAGAGAAAAACGAAAGAAGATTTCCATGTCTTTCTGTGTAAACTCTGAAGAGAAAAAGAAATAAAGTTTTATCGTTTATGCTTATTCTATTCGTGTGTACCATGCATTCAATTTTGTTTTCTCGCGAGACCTAAAAGACCAGGAAAACGGAAATTCTTTTGAATATTGTTTTGTTTATGCTCATGTTGATTCTAATCCTTCATTTATTCTGTCTTGTTTGACAATTAATAATCACTTTTGCTTGTGCTGTAAGACTAGTATGACCAAAGACAGCACCAAAAGCACCTTCTCGTTGTGTAACTTTGCCATTGGAAGTTGAAAAGAAGAAAATCATTTTTCTATGACAGCCACAGGCTAAGAAACTCAATTTTAAAACAAATAATTTAAAAGTGTACACGGTTAAGAATCACTGACGATAATAAGAAAAGATGGCAATGAAGTGAACGCAAGAGCCAGGGTGTCACAATAATTTATGATGCTGAACATACTAAATTATTTGATCAGAGAGCCATGTTAAAGTACTAAGAAGTAACCAAAGTGATTAATGATTTATTAACGAACATAATAAGTTCATGGTGCGATGATTTCCGATACTGAAAAATCAATTTCATTTCTCTCGTATTCTATATTTCTAGACAACAAAGTTGACTTCAAGATGTTGCTAACGGAAGAAACAGATCATCCTTCGACCCAAAACATCCTTCTTCATTGTCCATATCAATAATTCGACCGACCAACAGAGAGCTAGCTTATGTTTGCTTATTGCCTAGTTCTGACACGTGCTTGATTTGGTAATAACTGGGGGATTTGGTAGTAAAGAGATGTGTTGTACTTGTGCAACAACTGACTGGCGCTTCTATATACCATGGAGTAATTTTGTAGATGTTAGCACAAATCAGTTAACATGCTTTAGAGCATGTTAATATAAGAGTGCTTCTTGCGCTCATATCTTGTGTAAAATTAAAACAAAATCTAATTTACATTAAATCAATCATCATGGTTGAAAGAAATTGCAATACGCTGGCAGAGTATTGCAAAATCTTTAAACTCAACATCTATGCGAAATGATTATCACGAGCCAGTCAGACTAGCCGTCTACTTTGAATATTTAATGGTTTATTTGTGCCTATGATTGCACTGTTATAATATTGAGGGATGTTATAACAGTGTCTATAAAGCAATAAAAAAATTTAACTTCCGGTGATGTTCTAATGTTTGGTAAATGATTTAGCCAAAATAGCTATTTTGTATGATTGTATAGAACTATTGCAATCATAAAGATAATTCCTCGGGAGAGGAAACTGTTTCCAAATTTTCGAATCCAACTTGAGGGCTCGTCATGAATGCTCGTCTGTCCATTATGTTCAATGGAGATGATTGACTTCGTTTGAAAAATCTGACAGTAACTTTTTGTGCCATTAAAGTAAACCTTTCCTGTAAATGTTTGCAGTTTACAGCTGTTTTCTGCAAATCATCGTAAAGTACCAGTTTTGATAGAAATTTCGACAGATCGTCTGCAAACACTGGTTTTTTGAAAATTTATATGCTCCTACAGTTCGTCATGATTGTATTTTAACATTATTCTTACAGTTATTCATGGCACTGAACGATGAAGATTGAGACTGCGGTATGTGTTTGTTTGTCAGTTGTTTGCTTGTTTGCTTCATCATACTGCAACTTTTTCCTCAGTATTTTCAGATGCAGAGGTCGATAAGATCAAGAATAGCAGAACAGAGATGTAAGCATGTATTTGTTTGTATCGTTCATCAAATCTTCTTTGCTTCAATTTCTTTCAGAACCACATTGCCGTAACCTGTCATTGTCAAGCAACGCTTCTTGCAGTAAGTTAAACCAATATTTATTACTTATTTTTGGAGAAGATATTAAAATTTAAAGAAGGCATGTTTCGAGAAGACAAAATTTTCGACTTCCATTCTTCGGTGTTTGCAGATGATCATAAACATGCACAAAAACACGAAAACATGCACATAAAAGATTTTTTACAATATTCTAACTAAACTAGAGAGTTCACTCGCTCTCTAATTTAGTGAAGAATTTCAAAAAGAAATTCAAGTATTCCAAAAGAGTTTTCTGCCACCTATTTTGAAATAACTTGCACATAATTTCAAGCAGCGTACACTTGATATTCTCATAGAAATTTTTTGTAATTAAAATAAGATCATACGTATGTAATATAAAATTTGACTAAATCAAAACAATTTTTCAAATGATAGCCAAGTATTCGAAACTTCGATGTAAACTAATAGAATTTGTATGAATACAACTAATAAGAACTTACTGTTTGTTCATTCTTGGAGGAAGATTGGGTGGTTGGAAATGGCATTAATTTTTTGGGAAACGGATGTTTTATATGGACCGTTTACATTCTATATAATAAGTCGTTCATGTTTTGATTGACGTTGTCAGTCAGTGAATTGTAAGTCAAGATGTATCAACTATGAAATACAACCGGAAATCCTTATATATATGTGTTTGTTTCTATGTATTGTGTTCAAGAGTAAAACAATCTTCCTAACAAGATCTTTCAGATCAATGCAAAAATATCAATAAAAAAATTTATCATTAAATATCAACGAACACCGAACTTTTCCAAGATATGCAAAAATTTGTCTGTAATTATTCTTAACGTAAAACAAAATAGTATGTTATTTTCCGGAATTTGGATGGAATCTGTGAACTACTGAAGTGATCTGTGAACATCTCACGATTAATCATATGGACTTAAATGCGCGTATGAACTATAACACGGGTTGATTTTTCTATAGAATGATTTGATGGTCATGATTCTGATGTATTTTTCACTGACGGGGGGAGGGCGTTTGCACTGGGTGTGGGGCTCATAGGAGGAGAAGGAAAATAGTTTAGATGGTAAAGTATTTCCTATACAGTAATTGATAGCTAAATTCTTCGCAGAATTGGACGATGTATGGAAAATTTTATAGGCAATATGAATCCATGTCTATTATTTAATTATTAATATTATAAATTCTGCCTGATCGGAAGACAAATAATAGTTTATGGTAATAAGCTCTTGGAAAGGACACAGCCACCACCCTCCAGGAGCGTGAAATTTATGAATAAAATACTTACAGGAAGTACCGACCGGCATGATTGTGATGTTTGCAAATGAATGCTCAAATAAATTTATGACAATTAAAATTAAAAATTTCTGTAATGTTGGCTTGTTTAAGTTGTTTTGAATTAACCTGCTGACAGAAATGTCCTCGGGATATCCGAAATGAAAACACGCTAACAGTTTCTTCTCGTCTGCGACGCTAGCGAAAACTGTACAGTTTAAATGAATTCGAAATCTCAAACAGATAGTGAGAGTAAGACTCCGGAGATTAAAATGTTGCCGTTTATGCCATCAACAAAAGTGTCTAGCTTGTCCATCGACGATGTAGAAAGGGACTTTGTAACTCATGTATCTACTGGTTTGGACAAATCTGAAGCCGAAAGACGTGCAAGAATATATGGGTTGAACGAATTTGATGCGGGAGCTGAAGTTCCAATATGGCGAAAATATTTTGATCAGGTTGGTTGGCTATTTTTAAACTGTTAAGATTTTTCTAGTAGGAATCGAGTGGCTGCATCAGATCAATGATAAAGGCATTAGACTGGAGTGTATAAGTACTCATGTGTCAACAACAGATCACTTATGATGAGGGCACTAGACTGGAGTATATAAGAATTTAAGTTTCAACATCAGATTAATTATGGTAAAGACACTAGACTGGGGTATAAAAGGACTCAAGTTTCACCATCAAATCACTTCTAATGACACCAGACTGGAGTATAAAAGGACTCGAGAATCAACGTCAGATCACTCCTGATGTACTCACTGTAGCGAAGTATATAAATTAAAGAAATTTGTATAAATTTTTAGTTCAAAGAGCTTATGATATTGCTGCTGCTTGCATCTGGAATTGTAAGCATTATAATTGGACAATATATGTCTACCATGTGCATGGACTCTTAACTTAAGAATGTCAATGTTTTGTTGTTATCAGCAGTTTATATATGTTGGATGCCTTTTCTTTGTCAAATATTCTCTGTATTTTTAGCTTTAGGAATGGTTCATTGGTAAACTTTCTTGCTAAAGAATTAGTTTGTGGGGATATTGTTGTCATAGCTACTGGTGATCGTGTACCAGCTGATATACGATTGGTTGAGGTGAGCTGTTTCTCCCTAGACTGCTTCTGAACATACATACTCATTTTGAAAACTTTACTGATTTTCCTCACTCATTCACCATATGAAGACCAGCTGTCTTCCTCACCTTGATATTTTTGTTGTGTTTAGGCCGTAGACCTTGAAATTGATGAATCAAGCTTCACTGAGGAAACTGAACCCCAGAGGAAATATACGTCATCAATACCAGAAGCCTTAGCGAACAGTAGCCTTACGGAGCAAAAAAAATGTTGCGTTTATGGGCACGTTGGTTCGCTGTGGAAATGGAAAGGTGAGTTTTTTGTAGTTGTACCAGGAAGGAAGGGCTTTAGAGGGTGTGAATTTCATTATGTCTGTGATGGACTCTTGTGTAGCCGGAGGGGGAACTGTGCTTTTCTAAATGAAATAAAATGGTGAATGGAGGGATGGTATTCAACTTTATGAACTTTTCTGAAGTGATGTTATTGTTATGTTGGTAAAAACAGAAGTCAAGACCTTTGGGCCTTACCATTAAGACCGTCATACAATTTAAACTGTACTCTTTAAATGTATTTAGTGCTAACAACGGCATTAGACAAGGTGAAAATTTTCAAACTCTTTCTAGGTACTGAGAGCTCCACATATTCACTTGTCGCAAATTTTGTTTCATGTCATGTTTTTAGTGTTTATCATTGTAGCGTTCATATTGAATGTAAATTTTGCGAACGTCTTTTAGACTTTATTTTCATCTCTAAAAGTATTTATCTTCACGTTTCAGCCGCCATAAACTCCTCTTCAGAAAACAATGGATTCCTTGGGAAAGCAGTTGTCGTTTTATTCTTTATGTATTATTGGTAAGCGTACCACAGAGAACTTATTATATTTGAAATTATTGTATGATTATTTTGCTTGATATTTGGTACAGGATTTAGCATTGATAATCCTTCTTGGCTGGCTAGAAAATCGAAAGTCTCCTTAAAGCTGAAAACGATCTCTCACACTCACAAGAGGTTATGGGAATGATTCCTAAAATTCTCAACAAAACTTTAATATTCTCAAACCCCGGAAAGTTAATGGCTTTTAGGGTTGAACTAATATTATCAGGAAGACTACCTTAGATTTCCAATATGTTTCCCACAATTCAAGCTCACCATCCAAAGCAATAGAATTTGGAAGATTATCATTAAACATGGTAGCAAATAAAGTGAACTTATCCTGCCAGCGTGCGGATCCAGACTTGGAATGAGAGAGAAAAGAAATTAATTATGATGGAATTAGATATAAACCATAGTTAACATTAGTAGAAAATTCTTCAAATCTTCTGGCTAACTCCAAATTTATATGATCGACTACAGGAATCGTGATAGATCTCTTATAGTAATCTGAAGTGCAGTCAGCAGGGATGTCGCTGCGATTTATCTGACGATGACAAGTACGAGGTTTACCTTCTTCAACATTGACCTTCGCTGCTAAGTCTAAAGCAATTTTATACCATCTAGTATGATAGTTATCGATGTCATTACGTATTGCACGACCTAAGTTGTTTAAAGAATTATCAAATGCAAACCATCTGCAATATCGTTACTAGAAGATTGGACTAATTGGGTAGGTAACAGGAAGAGTAAGGTCGAAGAAGCATCTTGTTATCACGAGGCAAACAATGAACTCAAAACTAGCTAGAAAGTGAAAGAGGGCCTGGTTTGCTGGATGTCTCTACATTTCTGTTGCGTTCAAGATTGTAGTACATCTCCTAAGTGTGAAAACGATTGGCAAAAATAGCTCCTCAAACGTGTCAAGACTTTGAATGCGTTCCACCCACCTAGTTTTGCAAGCACTTTTCAACCTTTTTTTTAAAGAGTGTGGGCAATATTTGAAGATATCTAATTCTAGTAGAAGCAGCCTTGTATCAGAAGAATTGAAAAAAATTACGACTTCTTTTACTCTTTCCAAGAGATTTCTAACAGACTGAACAGAGCAAGATGAAGAAATGCTTAAATTAATGTTTATGTCCAAGAAAAGATCCTCGTTAAAGCATTTTAAAATAACAGAGGCAAGATTCTTTCCAGCTAAACCTTCCCTGCAATGAATAAAACGAAATAATTCTCCGATATTGAGCTCAGAATCAATAAAACGAAGCACAAGTGACATTTGTTCTTTATGAGAAATCTCGCAGGTCTCATCAGCAATGATCGCATAATACTTGCTTTTCTTAACATCAGAGAAAACTTGTTCAGTTTGTCCACAGCATCTGATTCTGAACTCATTTTGAGTGGTTTTGAAAACATAGGAAGCATTCTTAGGGTGGTCTTTTAAGTGAACCTCTAGAGTAACATCGCCACCTCAAACACGGTAGTTAAGCAACCTCACAAAATTTCCTACATCTGGACACGAGTATTTACCTATTTCAGGGTGACATTTGGAATCATCCCGATGACCGCGTAGAGGCAGATTTAATTGATCCGAAAGAATGACCGTGTCAACTACAGGAACCAGTTTACGACGATTAACTAAAATCATATTTTTTAAATTAGAATCTAACACCATATCAATTGGTTTCACCTGAAGTTTAAAATTCATTGGTTTCATCCGAGCCATAATGCAGCCCTGATACTGCTTTTCATGGCGTTTGAAAGCTGCCTTAGCATCAGGCCAATATCTAAGTGGTTCAATAATAAGCTTTTTGATCTTACCAAGCTTATTAGGAAATCTGTGTCCAAACAAAACACAAGGAAGACAAAATGCACCATCTAATTTGGGTGAGTAACACAACCAGGAATAATCTTGCAACCAGTCAAACTGAAACCATCTACCATTAGCAGATGGAATTCATAATGAATATCTGGAATAAAAACATTTTTAATAAGCTTCTCAATTTCAGAACTGTTCATGCCTTTTACTCTTTCCCTAAAAGAAGCAACATCAAATTCATGATCACAGGTGGAATTAGATGCCAGAGGGGCACGGCTAGAAAAAGAAGAGTAAAATTTATCAATAGCATCACTTTTTGATGATGACAGGGATGATGTTGGTGTTTTAATGGACCCATCAAATTTGGTTGCACTTAAAGAGCCTTGAGGATAAAGACTTTTAGAACAAGAAGTTAAAAATGACAGTTTAAACAGAGTTGTACTTTTGTTTGGTTTAGAAGAAGGAAAAGTGCATTTTCTCTTAAGCCCTTTTGATAAGATAATAATGGAACATAATTATTGTGCTGAAATGATGAAAAGGAATCAAGTAAACCTTCATAACAAAATAAAATTCTTATATGAGCAAAATTTGTGAGTTCTGATTTCAGAGATCAGGGATCAATCCTTTGATTAAACAAAAGCTGGCATTTTTCTGAGCAGGAATCAAAATCAGGATAGTAAGAGTATATAGTTCTGGATGTTACAGAAGCTAAAGCCAATAAACAAATGAAACTGCGCCACCTATTATCTGCACAGTTTAGCAAAGCCTCCTTCCACAGCAAATTAGAAGATGCTATATTACCTGCTGCATCCATTGCCTCAAATGATACACACATAGCTAGCATACCTGACAAAGATCTGAATATATTCTTATGGCTGTGAAAAAGTGAAATGAGACATGGATGTCTACAGTAATAATCAGCATCTAAAAACAGCTCGATGGAGGTCATTAGTCTGAGAGTGGTAATGAGAGAGTTATCCCCAACAAGCACCATAGAAATAGAACTATACAAACAATTTCCACTTACATTAGATCTAAATGGTAACAACAAGAAATAAAACATATTTTATCAAGCTCAAGAGGTTGGTGTGGTCATAAATTGTTTAAAGGCACTAAAAATAATTTCTAAATTTCATGAGGATAGCTTTTAAACTATAAAATTAGCAATTGTATCCATAATGAAAATTCATGAGTGTGAACTGTGAACATAATAAACTAACAAAGCCCACATATTTTGCAGTATATTACATTTTCTGGCAAAAAAAGCAAGGTTGACTGCTTTGCACAACTTTAATAGTAATAGCAAATTAGCAATGAACTGAATGAAGCAAGAATTATTAAATTCATTCATGGTGCACTTTCTGTCAAAATGTGTAAACAAAGTTTACTGCTTTAATAACGTCGATAAAGACATCATCAACACACAATCCATACATACAACAACATGTTTACAAACCTTCTTGCAATTAAATCCGGATTGTTGTCCTTGGCAGTAACAGGGATGAAATTTTCCACGTTGATGTTACGATAGATATCCACCCCGATACGTTGTGCTAAGTTCTCCTCCAGGGGCGGATCCAGACTACGTCAAATACGTCGCATGACGTGGTTGAAAAATTCATGTAACAGTAAATTTACTTTCCTTTTTCAAAGATCCATCACGATCTGCAACTTCTAAATTTAATATTCTTTATCAATGACCCGTAATAAATCGCAATTTGTTAGACAAATCAAACAAGTTCGAAGTGTGTTATAATAATCGCACAAATTGCTTGTCTCCGCCATATTCATATTTCTATAAGTAAATTACATGAAGTATTTGATTAAGCTGAAAGCCGAAGCTTTATTATTTATATATATAATGAATGATGAATCTTTATTAAACTACGTCGTTGCCACAGATCTAATAGTACCATTGAGTTCTATAAGACCTGGAGGGGAAACGTCAACAAAATTACTATAAATTATTAGCGCGCGGCCGCGTGGTCAAAACATGGCGGTTTTGGTTGTCAAAGTCAGTGGAAAGACGCGGGCTCATAAAATAAAATTTTTTTCGCCCACCCGGATTTGACAACCACTATTGGGATTATATAAAATATATCAATGCCAAGCAGAAAAACTTTTAGAAATTTTATCTTTAAAACATACTAAAACTTGTTTGGTATACGGATGCTGAAGTAATGCCAGAAAGGAAACATTTCATGACACCGGTAAGCAACGTAATATTGTTTACCATTTAAAGTGTTCAGTGTTTTGTTTTAAGTCAATACTCGAAGTGTGATGGTATATATTTTGTGAATGTTTTTACTCCTAAGTTATAATTTAAGTTATGTTTATGCAGTCTTATTTGTTCTTTGCTTGCTAGACGAGGCAAAGCAACCAGTTCTTATCGAGATATGCATATCTTAAAACTCCTTGTTTCAACTGAGTTGAAATGGAGGATTTTTTCATGATATTTTCTGAAAATATGAAGCAAATATTAAGGACAGAGCTGTTTGACACATTATGGACAATCATGATGATGGTGTGTAAGGGTTTGCTTTATGCTAAAAGTTCTATAAATGCCATCTGGTGTTTCTGTAAATGAATTGTTTGTTATACAGTGTAGTAAACAGGTTAGTACATCAAAATCAAGATAAAAACTACTTTGTTCAATAATGTGCCAAATTTTGCTACCTTGAAATATTTGCTCAAGAAAAGCTTATGATGACATGCATGAAACATTAAATATAGTATTGCATCATCTGACAAAATCCATACGTTTTTCAATTCCAGGTGATTAAAAATTCACATAAGATGCATTGGTTGCAATGAAGTTGAATGTGGAAGAAGCAAAAATTGATGGCAAAGAACTTTTTATGTCTTTTGAAGAATTACGATATCATTTAAAAGAATAAGAATAGCAATCTAGTAAAAGAAGCAATATCTGCCTTCAACATGAGACTTTTCCAATTATGTATAGTTACTTTGTACAAAATACTATTTTAGAAAAACTTGATTTTGAAGTCATTCACTGATATTTTTACCAAAAGACAAAAAAGCTTAACAACACATTTACAGTGTTAAGAATGCCGTTTGATATTTATTTCTAATATAGCTAAACATTACTTGACGAAATGTACGTTATTTTCCAGTAGATTTACCTCATTTAAATGTGTGTGTCTATTTCACAAAAAGCTGAAGCATTATTTTCAATATTTTATGTTTACGGTATCGTGGTTGTTTTCGCTGGTTGTCATTAATATAAGTAGTAATAGAGATCCGGATTCGGGAGGGAGCGAATGTTAAAATTTTCTCTCAAAGTGGAAGTTTTGACAACAAAAATCCGCCATTACCGCCATGTTTTTGACCACGGGGTCCAGGCCCCTTTGCCCCTCCAGGTTTTATAGAGCTCAATGGTAATGGCGGATTTTGGTGGTCAAAACTTCCACTTTAAAAATTTTTTTCAATATTCACTCCCTCCTGATTTCCAATACTGTTTATATGAACGATAACGAGTGAAAACAAACAATTACGATACCGACAGCATATCATGTGAAAATGCTTCATCATTGCGTGAAAACACAGTACACACACACATCAAAATAAAGAACATCGACGGTAGAGAAACGCATATTTTGGCTGTAACATTTAAGTTATTTTATGACATTTTAACCTTTTAAAAGTGAAAATCAAACGGCATTGGTAGACTTGTCAATCTCGTCAAACTTATACATTATTTCATGCTTCTGCGTGTTTGACTGTTTGTAAACAGTTTGGTGCAACTATTTTTCTTGCTCAAATGGATAAATCTGTGTAAAAATGCTCATAAGGAAGCGATAAAATGTTTGCTTCAGTCCTACGACATAAGTCAACTGAAAATTTACCATGGATAAGTATCATAAGTGTATTGTCATTACCTGATAATCTACTGAAAACTCATAAAGAAAGTATGTTGAACTAGAAGAGCTACAAAAAGAAAAATTCAAAACACCATGATACTGTTGCTTGGTAATTTGTATTTTGTAAACAGCTTGGCAGAATCTTGGACTATTACTGAACGGAACTACATTAATTTTCCATTGAAATTACAAACTTGAAAACTAAAGTGCATTGGTTTCTCTGACAAAAATACTGTCTATTGCTGCATGAAGGCAAAATAGTTATTTGACAGTGTAGGTGAAGAAATTTATCAAGTTCTATAGATATTATTGTGCATTACTTACAGTTTTTTGGAATTGTGTAATATATGTCAAGAACAAGATATAATTTTTCAAAAATGCTAACCCCTTCGAGCACTACTACTCCTGTGTTTTGCTTAAACAACTTACAGCTACCAATACTAATTATTTATATGTACAAACTAACATTTGGGAATTAAATGATAAACAACTTGTTAAATCTTTGTATATTACATCAAGCCTTTGAATTAGTTCGTTTTATCTCTTGGTAAAAAAATATTAATGAAAGACTTACAAATCAAGTTTCTCGATAATAGTATTTTGTACAAAGAAACTAAATAATTGGAAAGGTCACATGTTGAAGACAGACTTTGCTTTTTTGACTAGGTTGCTTGACCATGAGTAAATTTAAATTTGTTTACAATTTGTTTAAAGGATTCTTTTTATTGATTTCTACTAATTCTTCATACGACACAAAGAATTTCTTTGCCATCTATTTTTGCTTCTTCTACATTCAACTTCATTGTAACCAATGCATCCGATGTGAATTTGTGGATCACCTGGAATCATACCAAGTATGGATTTGATGAGATGAGACAATAATATGTTTAATTGTTCATGCATATTAATGATATAATCATAAGCTACTGTTGAACCAAAATTTCAAGGTAGAAACAAATCTTAGCACATTGTTCAACACACTACTTTTATCTTGGTTTTGAAGTAGTAACCTGTTTACTATAACAATAAATACTTCATTTGCAGAAACGCTAAGTAGTACTAGTAAAACTGTTTGCATAAATCCAATTTTCCAAACCCATTATAATTGTCTACACTATACAGTCAGTCAAATTGAGCAGGCAAACAGTTTAATAGTTAGTCTTATTATACGGCATATACCATAGTTCTCATTAGCCGTGTGGTTGCTGGCTTAGAATTGCGCCAACGTATCCTCTGCGTGTCGTAAAAGACGACTAAAAGGGGTTGGTGTAAGGAAGGGCATCCTACCGTAAAACTTTTGCTCCAACAAAATTCATGAACTTTGGAAAAGAAGACATGGCCCCCAGTTCCCGGCAGCCCTTCAGTGGGCAGGGGGTGCGAAGAATCTCCGGATCGAATGTTGGTGGAAGTGTAACCCTTCGGGTAGGCACAGTGAACGTTGGGACAATGAAGGGAAGGAGTGCAGAAGTGGCGGACATGTTGAAGAGAAGGAAAGTTGATGTGTGTGGGTTTCAGGAGGTAAGGTTTAAAGGTGAAGGTACGAGAGTCATAAAGGGTGAAGATAATGGAGCGAGATTTAAGTGGTGTTGGAAGGGAAACGGAAGTGGCATGAATGGTTTTGGCTTTGCGATAAGAGAGGATTGGGCGACAAAAATTTTGTTTCATGAGCCCGCGTCTCTCCGCTGACTTTGACCACCAAAATCCGCCATGTTTTTGACCACGCGGCCGCGCGCTAATAATTCATAGTAATTTTGTTGACGTTTCCCCTCCAGGTCTTATAGAACTCACTGAATAATACACTAGATCAGGGGTCTCCAAACTTTACAGCCGTAGGGCCACATGAACTTTCATCCAGCACGTTGAGGGCCGACGAGCCGTATACCGCTGGTCAAAGAGCGAATATTTTAATAAAACGAAGTACATAACACAAGCTTCATTAGTTAAGAAAATAGCTCCTTCATTAGCTCAAAAACCCTTGAAAGCACTTTTCCACAACTTAGCCATCTTACTGCAGTGTAATATGGTATGTCAACAGATTCTGTCTCAGTAGGAAGTTGGGACGAAAATTGACGTAAGCCACTCTTGCTAGTTGGCTTGCGTCATAATGTGAACTTTCTGCATAAAGTTTATTTTGTTTAATATTATTATTTTTTCTTAAGTGTCTCTGCGGGCCGCATCTGGCGTTGTATTAGAAAATAATATCTCGCAATTATTAGCAAATCGCGAAGGTTGCATCAACTTTGTTGCACTATTTATGAAATAAATCATTGTGACTATAGTTTTTAAGAAAAAAATTGCAGATCACGTCAATACATCGCCGTAAAATTGATTTCAAGTGTAGCTCGATTTGAAGGCATCAGCAGCGACGAAGGCTTAAGTTTCTGGTTTTTGCACCTATAAATATCGTATCACAGGACAATCTGCGATTGTGTGGCTTAGTTCGTGTGGCAAATACAGCGATATCATACTCGATCTATGGATGTATTGTGCTGATTGATGTACAACAAGCATAACGATGAGCGGTATGAAATCTTTTTCAATATATTATTCTGTTTGATTGTACCGTCAAAATTATACTTTGCGTTAAATATTTACACTGTTTCAAATAAAGGTGTTAGCTATACTGTGCAAGTAACACAACGTATAATATAATACATAACTGCTGTTGTAATACATAACTGCTGTTAAGAAGCAAGGTCGTTTCGTATGTCTGCAATGCAAATATTTTTGTGTTCATTGAGTGAAACATTAGTGAATGGAATTAATTTTCTAAAGAGAATAATAACTTCCAAAAATTAGTTTTGTAGAAGTAAAAAATTCCAGCAGTCTTCGCTGCTTTAAAACTGATTTATAACTTTTTGATTAGTTAGATAAAAAGTATGCTTAGGTGGATTTTATGTAGCTATTAGATGCATGTATTGAGTATTTCTTAAAAGAGTATTTCTTATAAAGATCGATAATCCTTTTTTTTGAACTATATGCTATTAGCTTTGATATTTTGCAAACCTCAGACTAAAGTACGAAATATGTACTATCTCTATCTTTCGCGCCAATTCAGCAAGCTGATCTCTATAATATCTGTGACTTGTTTCATCATAATTCTGCAATTATTATCTAGTTAAAAACATTGTAAAACCACCATTTCATTAGCTAAAATTATTTAAGACATAAGTTTATTGTTCCATTTCAAGTGGTCATTTCTTATATTAAACTAACAAAATGAAACTGATAAACTGAATTAGTCATGGAATTGAGTAAACTGGAATATAGTAGTAACCATGCAGTCCTTTTTTACATTCTTTCTACATTATGACAACTGGCAAAACCAAAGCTCCAGAGGCATCAATAGTGAAAATAATTATCGTCTTCAAGTAGCATGTAAACACATTTAAATCAGCAATTTTTAATTCAAGAGAATTTATTGGTAGTTTCAAGACTATCCAACAGATTTCAGCTATGTCATTACTGACCTGATCATCTGAAATTACAAATGTAATTTATAAAACCTGGGAATTTTTTTTGCAAGAAACATATTTTCTATTCTAAATACAAAATTTAGACTGCTCATACATTTTAATAGAACAGGGATATTACAAAAATCAGTCAGAAATTGACACAGGTTACAAGCATAAATTAAATATTTTGCTCAGAATAAATAATTTAGGTTTGATATTTTCAGTAACAACAATGTGTAGAAAGTTTTATATGAATATACATGACTGAATGGTAAAAAAAAAGACAATAAAAATGTTGAAAACAGTAGCATAACATCACCATAACAGTTCATTAAGAACTGTGGGCAGTGGCCATATATACCACTGGTTTAGACTATGACAATACATTGCTTATATACACAGTCTATTTATGTATATGTGTAAAACACAGTCAAGACCAGCGGCGGATCTAGACCGATACAACCGATGCGAATGCATCGGTCAAAATATTTAGATATTAAAATCTGCGAGTTTGCATTTTAATGAAATAAATAGCAAATATTATTTTCGAATTATTTAAAACGCACATTTGACAGTGATATATTGTTTAGTTAACTTATAGATTTAGCAGTTTTAAGCTAAAATTTGTTCTAGAAATAACATTTGTGTTCTCCGATAATTTTGTCGTATTCCATGACACAAATAGCGAAAGAAAAGTCGATAAAATTTAGCGAAATTTTGTCGTGAATACATAATTAGTAAGTAATTTAATAGTATTCTGCCAGCACGTCACGGTAGATGGAAGAGGCATCGCTACGTCACAGTAGATTTGCGATGCATCGGTCCCGAGTCCTTTTCCGCGTGAGCCACAAAATGCCAGATCGATGTGTAGTTTTGGTTGTTCTAACGTAGCCAGTTTGGAGAAAGGCATTTCACTTCATCGCATACCATTTTTTAACGACGAAAGAAGCGAAGCTAAGCGTAGGAGAAAGCGATGGGTCAACTTTGTGAAAGCTACTCGCGATAAGTGGGTCCCCACAAAGAATTCCGCAGTTTGCTTGGAACACTTCACAAAAGATTCGTTTTCTCGGCAATTCGGCTTGCTTTCTGAATCAGAAAGTAATTTTGCACCCGACTCATTCGAGATGAATTCGGAATCGTTGCTTACCCGAGCATTTATCCTCGAAAAGATGACAATGAACTTACAACAAGAGATCGCAGAATGGTGAGTACGTTAAAATTATACATATGCATATCTAAATTTTACCTGGAATCTGTGTGAGAGTATATTTCATAACTACATGCCATTTTAGATGAAAAGAAAGTGGATGACTGATTATAAAAGAGAGATTGAATCAGAAAATATTCCAAGTACAAGTAGCGAACCTCAAGAGCAAATAGAAGAAACAACTTGTAATGAGCCTGTATTAGAGAAAGTAAACTTACATGATTATTACGCCACTGCTGTAAAGGTTAACGTAAATTATTGTTTTGTATATGTATTGCTGTTTTCCTAATTTAGGAAGTAGCTGTGCAATGTGAATTACAATGCCAAAATTGTTTAAAACTTGAAAAAGAGAAACGTCGTTACAGGAACTTATGGCTTGGGGCAAAGCATAAGCTTCAGTGAGGCAGAACTTATGCAAGCAGTTCTAATATGGATATGCTTGCAGTGGGTAAGTGTTTTTTAAAATAATACGCCTGTTAATTTTGTCTCAAACAAGTGCATTGGAGGGATTTCACTCAGTTCTTAACCAGTTTGCACCCAAAATGATAAGCTACTCTTTTCCTGGGATGTTCTTCAGGTATTCTATGAAACATGTGTGATGAAACACCAATGTGTCATTACAGTTTTTATTCCCTTGTGCCAATTTAAACTTTTTCAAGAAATTGAATGCAATTTTACATTTCATGAAGGCATATCCTTGCTGTAACTCACTTCAACAGCAATTTGGACAGGGATAATCAAGAGGTTAATGGAGTTCCCCAGGTTAAAGTGCATTATCCAAAATTTAAAAATGGTGAAGCTGTTGTAAGAAATGTAAATGTTGCTCAGGATTTTGGTAAGGTTATTTAATACATTTCTCCTACTGCCAGATATCATGTGTTTAATGCCATAATAATGAAAGCCTTAATAAGAAATGATTACCATAAAATAAAATTTTGAATAATTTGCACATTGCTTCTCCAGGGTATGTTGAAGATATTTATCAAGTGTTGTGCTCTGCACTCATTGATGAGGAAACATTGAGAAAAGCCAAAGGTGATCTTTTACGAATGACTCCATTGCAATGAATTCCATGTTGAGACAAGCAATCAAAAGTGAAGCTATCTCAAAAAAAGCAAGAAGAAAAAGCATGCCAGCTGTATATTTCCCCCCAACTAAGCCAGGTTTTACAAAAGGCATTACTTGCTTTGAGTTAATTTGAATCTTATTTTTCGAAGTGACTCACTTTATTGTTTGATATAGCTGAAGTATCACCTGTCCAAGAAATAATCACTAATCAGAGAAATGAGAGAGCAGCACCTCGATGCACTGTGTGCAAGAATTGGATGAAAGGCCATAAAAATATAATGAACTGTCCAAAAAAACGAAAGTAACCAGTTTTTTAGGACCTGGTGGTATGAGCCCAGTTAGTTGGGATTCAGTGAAGTGTGAATTGACTGCATGGACAGAATAAAGAGAAAAGAATTGTAATTTTATATGTTTTGTATAACAAGTATAAGTGTGAATCGAAGATGCAATAAATCAAGAGTGGCTTAAATCATTCCACACTTCACTGAATCCCTACTAGCTGGGCTCATGCAAACAACACCTAAAATAATATATAATGTTATGTTATTTTACAAATTGTCCTCTTCATACCCTGCAAAGTGTTCATTTTTTTTTAAATTAAAAGTTTTTCGAATAACATGGTAAGCACAAGCTGGAAGTGGAATTCTTTTGTCTCGAAGAATGCCATGTACCATTCTTGTAAATTGTCTATATGCAACAACTCGAAAAAACCTGAAAAGGCATAATACACAAGGTCCATTAAAACAGGTCTCTCGGGCAGTCAGTCGGTACGACTAGGACTGTTTATGGTTTGGGTTTGCTTTTGATGGCCGATCTCCAAGCCGCTCTGTTGCTTGCGGCCGTCTTCCAGTTGTTAGGTAGGATCTGTCTCACTTTCATGTGTCGTTTTACGACGTCTTTGTATCTGAGTCTGGGTCTTCCTTGGTTTCTCTTCCCTTCGCATAGTTGTGAGAACAGCAGTTGTCTTGGGAGTCTTTCCTGATCCATCCTGTATACATGCCCCAGCCAACGAAGGTTTCTTTCTATCAGAATATCTGCCATCGAGGGGAGGTTAGCACGTTTCAGGATTTCAACATTCGTGATCTTGTCCTGCTATTTGATGCTCATGATATCTCTCAGCTGTCTCATCATAAAAGCATGTAGTTTCTTTACCTGAGTTCTGTAGATGGTCCAGGTTTCTGCTCCATAAAGAAGGGTTGATAACACCACAGCTCTGTAGACTTTGCATTTTACCCTGACTGACACATGCCTATTGTTCCACAGTCTTTCCTGGAGCTTGCCGAATGCTGTACTTGCCTTCCCAATCCTGGCCTTCAGCTGTTTCTCGATTTTTGAAGATCTGGAAACAGTGCTTCCAAGATATGTGAAATCCGTGGCTTGGACAAGCGGGATTTGATCGATGGTGATGTCTTGTGGCTCAGGAGGGGGATTGTGAAGTTTGATCGGCTGATACAAGCACTCTGTTTTCTTGATGTTTATCTTAAGGCTGAACTGGGTAGCAGCCTTTGAGAATCTGTCAACAAGCAATTGTATGTCCGATGCAGTGTGAGCCACCAGAGCACTGTCGTCCGCAAACAGCATCTCTCTGACGAGGTGTTTTGTTGTTCGTGATTTTGCCTTGAAGTGGGAGACATTGAAGAGATCTGCAGCGTGTCTTGTCTGAATGTAAATCCCTTTGTGAATGTCTTTAAAAGCCACATGCAGCATAGCTGTCAGGTAGAGCGAGAATAACGTTGGAGCAAGAACGCAGCCTTGCTTCACACCATTCGTCACGGCAAATTCTGATGAAATATCTTTCCCTTGAACTACTTTTGCCTGCATACCATCATGAAGCTCCCTCACCAGGTTTACAACCTTGTTGGTGCAGCCAAACTTCTTCAGCACACTCCATAGTGCTTCCCTTGAGACTGTATCAAAGGCTTTGGTAAAGTCAATAAATACAGCGTAGAGTCCATTAAAACAGGTAGGAGTCCATAAAATACAAATTTTGCAAGTGTGCATTCATAGATAACCCAGACAGAAACATTTAACTAATAATTCTAACAAACCTTTGCTTCAAGAATCCTTTATGATATCTAACTCCATCTTGTCTTTGGTAAAGATTGGCAGCTAAATTTAATGCCCATCGATTGAGGCAAATGGCATCAAATCCTGGATGCTCTGTTATGCATTTTGGCTGCCTTCCTAATTCGGATACCACCATATGATCTTGCATTTCAATCATGCAATTGGCAATTTCGTGGCAGCATCTACATTCTTTTGGATTAACCAAGAGAAGAACACGGCAGTTACCACAATTGCACCTACGAAAGTTATCTGTCAAAAGCTTCGGCAACAATAAATAAACAAATTTTCCAATTTTTCTTACCAAGAATCAAGAGAAACTTCATTTTACATTCTGCGTTCGAGCTCTTCTGTTTGGCGTCTTTCTTCTTCTGTCTCTCTAATATAGTTTTCTAACCACTCTTCATCTGCAAGTGGTTCGTTTTCATACGCTTCAGCTTGGCCATACTCAAAATCGCCATCGGTGTTTCGGAGCGCATTTGATGACGATTGATCTTCGTCTTCTAAATCGAATTCCTGACTGTTCAATTCAATATTTTCCACTGTTGTTGCTGTACTCGACTCAGAATCAGATGTGGACATGTTTCGTACAATTTTTATATTAATTTCAAAGCAATATATCAAGAATTGTTATTTCACACTATGTTGTTTTGTATGCAGCGCATTCATACGTTCCTTAAATGACGTCACAAACCTCTCGTTTTAAGTCCCTCAGCGGCGCGGAAATTTCTCAAAAGCAAGCTAATTCAAACCGCAAAAACTTTGTTTTTCTTTTTACGAAATTTTTTCGAAATCATATTTTCCACAGTATAAACTTTAAAATTTCAACGAATTTGGAAATAACTGTATGTGCACTTTAAGAAACACATACATAGTCTTACACGTCTTATAGAAATTGAAAAAATGTTAGTCAAAATGTGTATATTTAGCCCATGAACTTTCTTTAAGCGTGTAAAATATTTTATGAATTTGAACTACAAAGTGTAGTGATAGATGGATATTGCTAGCAGGGCGGATCTAGAGTATGTCAAATCCGTCGCACGACTGATGTTTGAAATTCAAAATTACGTATTCATATTAATTAAAAATTCATTAATTATTCTTACTTTATTATCGCATTTACTTCGTGATAAAAATCCAGCTTTATTGATTATTGAAAACTAATGATTAATGCAATGAATATCTCGTTGGTAACCAGATCAGTTCCACAATTGCGATTACATAAAATATCAATGCCAAGCACAAAAACTTTTAGAAATTTTATTTTTAAAACATGCTGCAAACTTGTTTGGTATACGGATATAAGACACCTAGAATCAATCCTACCAAACAAAAACTCAAAAAAATTACATACCTACTTATAATATATTTCCAGTCGACTTAAGTCGTAGGGGTAAGCTAACTTTTTCTAACTCCTTTTTGGACATTTTAACTAAGATTTACCCATCTATTCAAGAAAGACAGTTGCACCAAACTGTTATCAAACAGTCATAAACACAAGTATTGCGCATGGGATTATGCAAGTTTAACAACACATTGACAGTGTAAAGAATGCCGTTTGATATTTATTTCTAATATAGCTAAAGCATTATTTGACAAAATATACGTTATTTTACAGTAGATTTACCTCATTTAAATGTGTGTGTCTATTTAACAAAAACCTGAAGCATTATTTTTAATATTTTATGCTTACGTTATCGTGGTTGTTTTCGCTGGTTGTCATTGATATAAGCAGTAATAGAGTTCCGGATTCGGGAGGGAGCGAATGTTAAAAATTTTTCTCAAAGTTGAAGTTTTGACAACCAAAATCCGCCATTACAGCCATGCTTTTGACCACGGGGTCCAGGCCCTTTTCCCTCCAGTTATTATAGAACTCAATTGTTTAAATGCATGAATGATTTTCTTTTGTAAAAATATGAAAATATGACAAAATTTATTTTCAGGAGGGGTGGACTCAATTTTTTTGTAATAGTTCTTTCTGTTCTGGAAAATGTGTTTAAATTCAACAATGTTGCTCTTTGTAAAATTACGAAAATATAATAAATTCATTTTCAGGGGGGTTGACTCACTTTTTTTGTAATAGTTCTTTTTGTTGTGGAAAATGTGTTAAAATGCATGAATTATGGTCTTTTGTAAAATATGGCTTTGTGATAAAATTCATTTTCAGGGGTGAATTCACTTTTTTGGAAAAGTTCCTATTGTTGTGGAAAATGTGTTCAAATTCATGAATGATGCTATTTTGGTAAAAATATGAAAATATGATAAAATTGATTTTCAGGGGGGTTTGACTCTCTTTTTGTAATAGTTCTTTTTGTTGTGGAAAATGTGTTTGAATTCATGAATTATGGTCTTTTTCGAAAATATGGATTCAGGAAAAATTATTTTCAGGGTGGCGGTTGACTCACTTTTTTGTAATAGTTCTTTTTGTTGTGGAAAATAAGTTCAAATGCATGAATTATGGTCTTTTTCTAAAAATATGGCTTTGTGATAAAATTCATTTTCAGGGGTGGATTCACTTTTTGGAAAAGTTCCTATTGCTGTGGAAAATGTGTTCAAATTCATGAATGATGCTCTTTTTGTAAAAATATGAAAACATGATAAAATTCATTTTCAGGTGGGGTGGACTCAATTTTTGTGTAGACGTTCATTCTGTTGTAGAAAATGTGTTTAAATGCATGAATGATGCTCTTTTTGTAAAAATATGAAAACATGATAAAATTCATTTTCAGGGGGGTTGACTCACATTTTTTGTAATAGTTCTTTTTGTTGTGGATTTTTAACAACTAGCATTTTATTATAAAAGCTTATTGTTTTAAAAATAAGTGATATTATTACAAATAATGTAATAACAGACTTTTTGTTGTAAACAATGTGTTCAAATGCATGAATTATGGCTTTTTGTGAAAATATGGAATTATGATAAAATTTATTTTTAGGGGGATGGACCATTGAGTTCTATAATAACTGGAGCGGCTAACTTTACTGGGACAAGGACGCCAAAAAATTGGCGGCCAACGGACGTATTTTCGCTAAACTGATCGCTTTGCAGAAAAATAATATTCTCGACCTCCACCTGGTGTCTATAGTAAACTATAAACAATTTTTCAAGAACAAACAGTATGTGGAGATGGGTAAAGGGTTACAATAAACTTGCATGGTTTGAAGTCTGAGCTTTTCTATATCTATGAACTGTCACTTGTAGTACCAAATTTCTAACTTTATTTATTACACAGAGGTTTGAATGGGGGTCTTCAGGGGGGTCTATGCCTGACAACTTGGTAGAAATTTTTAAAGACTATATCTGTTTTTGAATAGCATTATTGCAAAATAAATTTTACGTTCCTAGACATGCTAATGAGCCATATATTTGGCATGATAATGAGCCTAAATATTTGGCAAAACATTCAAGTATTGGTCACTTCATTTTTTTTTTGAAAAAAACGTAAGCAAAATGTGTTGTTTTTACGCAAAAACGATGCCCACAAAATACATTTTATATTGTTTCAAAACGATGAAAATGGCATTTTTAAGGCTCTGAAATTCAAAATTTCTCAGGGGAGAATGCCTCAGACCCCCCAGGTGCGGAGCGCCTCCGACGTTTTATGACTGATGTTTGCAAATATAGGAAAGTTGCAAAGTGAAAAAAAAGGGTAGAAGTATTAAAACTACAAATGAATTATAAACACAATTGGAAGCATTAGTGTTTTGATGATTATTTGCATTTTGCCCACTTCATATAGCAATTCAACAAAATCAAAATGTGCTACAACTTTACAAGTATTTGATGCAGTTGCACTTCATAGAACCACAAAAAGGTTAATTAAAGTAATTTCTATACAATATTGTTTATTTTCATTTACCAAACCTATGCAGACTTGAGTCTTTTTGAAATTTAATACGAAACTCAATTACAGAAAATCCGTAAATATCCAGAGATTTAATATTTACTTTTTAAAAACAAGTAAAATCCTACAATTGTGGCGAAAAAGCCATTGCCTTTCCACGAAAAAAGCAAAATAGCAATGATAACAAATAAGCTAAATTCTCTCTCGTGAACCGTGGAGATGAACTATGATATAATTTTTGTATAGACTAAAGAGTTTAATCGATCAAACAAGTTTGACGCTGGTAAGAAAACGACACACATCTGCATTTGTTCATGTTTGTTATTTGGTTTTAATAATGAGCCAGAGCAAACACTCGAACGCTTATACGTCTATATGAATTTCATTCCACGAGCCAGTAATGTGCCCACTATTTTTTTCACTTTTGATGCGAGGTTTTTATATTTTTTCTTAGCTAGGTGCAGTTAAGGCGAGACCGATAAAGCACTTGAAAAACGCAAGTACATATACGTAAGAATGAAAAGTGCGCGAATATTCAGCATAATGAGTATAGGCATTGAGGATAGGCCATTTCCTATGATCGAAGTAGTAGCTTCTAGATTTAATCTCATACGTAAATTTAACGTCACAATGCGCGTTTGAAGCAACATTTGTTATAAAAATGACGACAGGTTTTGAGCAGAATACTTAGGATTAGAATACTTTTGAGCATCATCAATATCTTATAGAACATATTACAAGCAAGCTCAATAACAAAGAATAATATACTTCACAATGCGCGTTTGCAGTAACATTCGTTATAAAAAAGACCGCATATTTTGTAAAAGCCAAATGAACATATAATACAATGTGGGCGCTGTGCTGTATACTTTGTGTTGATTTGTGTTATGAAATTTTATACAAGAAACATATTGTACTTATAGCGATTATTATGTCAAGGCCGCTGAGCAGGAAGTTAATAGGCGCGTCCCCGATCATCGCCCGGGTTATTGCATTCCCCCCAGAAAATGGATGCGATACATATATCTGTGGTTGTATATGCCAGAAAATGGATGCGATACATATATCCCTTTGATATTTGAAACATTATGTAGAAACTAGAGAGTCAACAAAAAACGATGTACGTGTTGTTTGAGTTTGTCGTCAAAAGCAGGTATGTATTCTCCTTCTTTTCTTATTTATTTTTATTATATTAACTTTTTTCTATTTTTACTGTAATCAATTTTTGACTTTTAAGTTAAGCATCTGAATTAAGAAACTACAACCATGCTTTGAGAGTGTATAATGAAAGATGTTTGCAAGCAGAATACAGGAAATGGATAGGCATTATGACCAAGTTGTGGTAAGCTTTAAGTGCTACCCATTCAAGTTTACTTCTTCTAAATACAACACAATCATTGAAGCACTTATGACTGTTTGCCTGTTTCCTTGGAAATTTATTTAATGTTGAGATGGTAAATGTAGACATTTGTGTGATATTGTGCCAAGAGTTTTGGCATGGACAAACAAAATAGTTGGCAAGGGCAGCAGAAAAGTCCAAATTTAAACACCTGTAATGAAAAAACTGAAAGCATTTGTTGCATCCAAGCCAATCTTCACCATCATTGTTTTTGCATATTTTGCAAACACCAGTATTTCCTCTACAGCAAAACAAACAAAGGAATTTAAAATGAAAATTTAAGTTTCTCATGCACTATATAATGCGTTAAAGACTGGTTAAAACATACTCATGATTGTCATCATAGCAAGAGCTGAATATGGGTGATATTAATTTCTCTTTCTCTAATTCCATTTTAAAATTTCTGTTTAATCTTGAATTTTCACAAATACACCTTGGAAACTGTGGAAAAGAAATTGTTCAAATTGTAGAATACCGAGACAATAACAGAAACAATTCCAGTTCGAGACTGACTTTATTAACGTTAGTAGCAATATTTATAATGTAAGACATTAGGCGGTAACTATGACTAAAGGAAGCATTTTATATAAAATATGTATATATAATATGTAATATGTATATGTACAACGTAATGGAAGGGTGTATTGGACAGGAAGATTATTTAAAGCGTATGTTTTTTTTGACATCTCAAAGAGAACTATTTTACACAGCTGTTTTGAACAGATGTTCGCCGCAAAATTAACCTACATAAATAACCAGCAATAAATATTTTTATATATTTATATACATTGTGATTTGTGGACATGATTTGCATTGTGCAGAGATCTAATGCAATAACTATAAGACATAACCAATGAATAAATTAATAGAATAAATTGTTAAATGTCTGTGGGAGTGCTCACTTACCAGGCAATTGATTACACCACATTTTAAGCTGTCCTGCTGTGTGAAAATTAATGGTTCCATACATGGCCAATATCAAGAATGCCGACCAGTTTTATGTCAGCAATTTCACTAAAATTCATTTGCAGTACTGTAACAATCGAAGGAGAGCTTGAATACTGACAAGTTGTCATGCTAATGCATTTTATGTAAGGATTGTTACGGGCCTTTACGGCGTGACTTAAGATATTCAGAACGGATTCCAGCTGGATACACCACAAAAAGCAAGTCATACAAATTTTGAGCTGTTATTTTTATTAAATGTTGCTTTCGCTTCCATGATGCATAAAATCTAAACTGGCTTTCACAAGTTATATAAAATATGGAATTTTGAACTATAGCTGTTAATTGTATTCTAAGGCAGTCATGAATCCCATCTGGAATCTTGTGATACGTCGAATCATAAATAACATAAAAAAATGTAAAAAAAGTTCTTCAATTTTCTTCGCTCGATGCAGCTAAAATCAAATCTGGATATTTTTTGGTATGGTGGTTTAATACAACGAAATGCATATAACATGCATTTACGTAATAAATTGGACGTCATTTAAATTCCTTCTCTTCTGATCAAGAATGGAATTATATGTGCTGAATGACCTTTCAACATCGTATGATCCCAATGTTCCAGTGCAATAGTGGGAGGCAAGCTTGTAAAGTTCTGGAAGTTCATCTGCATGGGATTTCCAAAACAGCTTCAGGTCTACCTTACCTTGTGGACTTTTGACACAGCAGCAGGTCCGAATATATCAACATACTTATGCCATTCTTCATCGGAGACACTTTCTTTGAATCCAGGAATATTAGTGTATGAACTGTGTAGCTTTGATGAAGAGACTATGTTGCGTGGTTCAAGTACTTTGATTTCCTTCAAAATTCTGATGCTGGTTGTCCTCCATTAACAATATACTTCTCGAGTTTTGCTTCTGCTTGCTTGAAAGCACTTACAAACTGTTTCTTCAAATCATCCTGGTGATCTATCTCCAAATCATAAAACGATTTTGAAAGATCATTAGAATCCACTGTAATATTTTGCCTCAAGTAGTCCAGTAGCTGATTCATTTTACATAGGACTGAGTAATGTGAGGAATCTTCATTTGAAAGTAATCAAGATATATAAGCAAAGATGGTGCTTTCATCTTAATGAAGTCAAACTGAGCTTTCAGTTTCAATAAGTATGTCTCATCTTCGTATATTTCTCCCAATCTTATCAAAGAATTATATGGTTGATCCGAGACCTCAAGCTCTGCTGATATGAAGCTTCTATAGTGCAAAAAACGGTCTGCGTGATATAGCACAGAGTCTAACCAAGCACTCCAGCTTTTTGTTGTTGGGTTAGGAGGCATACAGACAGACTCCTCTTCAGTAGAGACTTTTTCAAAAGTTTAGAAACCTACTTTTCTGCCACTTGGAATGTAAAACAAATTTCTGAAACATTTAACAAACTCAGTTATTTCAGAAAAATTTTTCTTGAAGTCTGAAACAACGAGATTAACAATGTGACTATGGCAAGTAATGTGCACACAATTTGGAAAAATAACCGAAAGTGTGGACGAAAATGCTTTCTTCATGTATGCCACGTTATCAGAATTAAAAATGAGCACATTATCAAACGAAATATCATACTCATTTACGACTTTGAGCACTGTCTGGGACACTGTCACATTGTTGGTGCTGGTCAAAAAATGTGTATCCAGTAAATAAGCGCAAGTATTGCCATGAGGAGATAGTTCATCAAAATCAAGAATAACAGCCAGGACATCCATTACATAGCGTCCCTCATCATCGCTCAGCTCATCAGTCAATATAGCGACTTTTTTGCCGTTAAATTTTTGCTTCAATTCCTCTTTCTCTACAACATATACATCAAGAAGATACTCATCTTGCAGTTGAGAGGATCCAGGAATAGCACCGCCATTTTTACCATTGTGGTCAAAACTCTCTTAGATATGCGTTATCAGATTTTAATAGCGGAATATTCGCCGCAGTGCATTCATATATCCATTCTTGACAAACCTTGATTTTCTCTGCCTTTGCATTGTTAGAGAATTTCAGTGCTGTTTTGACAGACTGCTGCTTTCCAAAAGAGTTTGCTTTGCCATGACTCTTTGATTTTAGGAGGTCATCGACCGTGGATTTCCTTACATGATCAATTACGACATTGCACTTTGAACAGAACAACAGACCATCATCCAGGTGAAAAGTTCCTGACGGATATTTACTTGCTCGCTGTTTTGCATCTATATTCACAGAAAGGTGTGACTTTGTCTTTGGATGAGGAACTTGGGACAATTTCTGTACAACAAATTTATCAATCCGCAAAGCTTACATTGAATGATCTTCGCTCGTATAAACTGCCGCCAATTTTTCCTCGTATTTAATTTAAATAAACTACGTGACGGAAGTGAAACGGAACGGAAGTACTTCCATTTTGTTTAAAATTTTACAGACGTAGCAACTAGCAAAGGCAACGCCCTAGTGTTGTTTCGCTCCAGACTTCATTTAGAACACCATATAATTCGTAAATTCAGGGAATAATTTTGAAAACAACGTGTAAAAATTAAAATTCCCCGATATTCCGCGAATTTTGATCGATTCTGCGAAATCGCGAAACCGTAGAATTCCAGAATGTCTGTATAAATTAAGAAGGACGAAGTTATTTGAACCTTTGTAGTATCCTTGGATGTTCTAGTTTGTTTTATGAGATAAACAAAAAGATAAAATTCGAAAGCAAGAAAACCCGTTTTCGGGCCATGTTTCCCGAAATATGTTTCTTCTTATATCTAAGGCACTAGAACGCCGCATGTTAACGTTTCGGTAGGAGATTTCGGCCACTCCAAGCTATCCTACTTGGGAGATGCCAATAGGAAGCTTCCGCTCATCAGACCTGAGATCATTATATCAATTATAGTTCAAAAAGGCAGAAGTTGTTTGAACCTTTGAAGTATCCTTGGAAGTTCTAGTTTTTTTTATGAGAAGAATACTTTTAAAGAAAAAGACAAATTTTGAAAACCAAAGAATCCCGTTTTCGGTCCATGCCTCCCGATACCCATAGATAGTTGATCACCAGAGCGTCGCATGTTAACTAAGGGAACCACATAATCCTTGTTTGTTTTCCATGAAACATATGGATGGTTTGCTCGTGATACATGAGAAACAGTAAATGGGAGAGTTAAATCAGAAAGATATAAACCGATAAAATTGATATAAAACATTTTAAGGTTGTCTTTAATTATAAGTGTCAGAAAAAGACAGGGTCATAATAAGTTAATTGAAACATTGCTTGGTTTGTTTTATGAGAAGAAAACAAAAAGGTAAAATTCGAAAGCAAAAAACCCCGTTTTCGGTCCATGCTTCCCGATACCTTCTTAAGCGCAAGGCACTAGAACGCCGCTTGTTATCGTTTCGGTAGGATATTTCGGCCCCTCCACGCTATCCTACTTGGGGGATGCCAATAGCAAGCTTCCGCCCATCAGACCCTGAGATCACCTGCGATAGGCTTTGCTCAGGGTACGCAGGAAGAGTGCGGTCGCCACCGAAGTGTGGGCCCCTAAAGCCACTGCATACTACATCGCACCCAGCTTCCACTGCTAGTTGACATCTACTATATGAAGTTTTAGCTTTATATATGTATATACCAAAATTTAAAGGCGTACGAAAGTTATGGGATGATTGTTATCGTTACTGCGCATGCCCAGATGATTTACCATTTACCATTCACTATGGTATTTGCTATCTTTAGAACTATGTATTATTTCTTTCTCTACAATGTTGTCGCTTTTACAGGGAGTAAAAGCACGAAAATATTTATATAACATGAACAAACTTGCTTGATGACAACTTTGCTCAGTCAAATACTTATTATCTATCAATTACGTATTTACAGAAGTCTTGATTTGAACTACATTTATGCGTTTATTTGCTAAACCTAGTCTTCCCCAATGTTGTTTTCTTCTTATTTCAGACATCCTAATGTAATTATATTGACAACATCGAACATAACTAGAGCCATAGACGTTGCGTTCGTGGACAGGTTGAAAAATATGTTTGTGACTCGAAAGTTTTTTAATTCACTTTCTCATCTAACTTCGCTATTTGTTCGCCCACAGAGCCGACATCAAACAGTATATTGGTCCGCCATCAGCCAAAGCTATTTACAAAATTTACCATTTGTTTGTATGTAACTTATGTCTTCTTGTGCACGTGATCAACGAAATGGCTGCCGGTCAATTATGTTTTCTGGCCAAAAGGAACGCCGAAATGGCTTACCGCAACCTGTCATCATATACAATATAAAACAACAATTTGCCTCGTGAAGTATATCCCCTCTTCTCAGTACTTTGTACCTTTACGTCTACTGCTTTATTTCCATACCACAATATAGTCGTTTGTGCAAGTTATACAAACATCTTGCTTAAATAGAGAGGTGTGCAGCTATATGGAGTATATAACGACTCAAGATTCAACATCAGATCACTCCTGATGAAGACACTAGACTGGAGTATATAAGGACTCAAGATTCAACATCAGATCACTCCTGATGAAGACACTAGACTGGAGTATATAAGGACTCAAGTTTCAACATCAGATCACTCCTGATGAAGACACTAGACTGGAGTATATAAGGACTCAAGATTCAATATCAGATCACTCCTGATGAAAACATAAGACTGGAGTATATAAGGACTCAAGTTTCAACATCAGATCACTCCTGATGAAGACACTAGACTGGAGTATATAAGGACTCAAGTTTCAACATCAGATCACTCCTGATGAAGACACTAGACTGGAGTATATAAGGACTCAAGATTCAACATCAGATCACTCCTGATGAAAACGTAAGACTGGAGTATATAAGGACTCAAGATTCAACATCAGATCACTCCTGATGAAAACATAAGACTGGAGTATATAAGGACTCAAGTTTCAACATAAGATCACTCCTGATGAAGACACTAGACTGGAGTATATAAGGACTCAAGTTTCAACATCAGATCACTCCTGATGAAGACACTAGACTGGAGTATATAAAGACTCAAGTTTCAACATCAGATCACTCCTGATGAAGACACTACGCTAGAGTATATGTAAACTCATCTTTCAAAACATATCGTTTATACTCAAGATATTAGATAGACGTACGACAATCTATAATGTCATATAAATCACGATAAAAAATCTGGTCCCCGGAGTCGACATGCTATCAGGCAGGCAACAAACAAAGATGAGATAGCTGTACAAACCTGTATTATCGCAGCAAAGCTTCAAATCTTTAACAACAAGATGATTATAGATGTATAACACGAAAATAGCGATCAATATTAGTAAAGTTGGCTTAAGGATGTCATTTAATGTAAACATAAGTTGAAATTAAACAGTTACAATTAACTATAGCGTATAAATATCTTTCCCTATGTAAAATAATCTATACATTATCCTCAATAACGAACTATACACATTGTTGCATTTTAATATATACGAACTTTGACCTCGGGTGTGTTGCGGAAACGTCATGTAAGGAGTCTTAAAGCATCAATATAAATTAGCAAACTTTGTGATCTATGTTACTTATTGAACTTAAATTGAGCAATACAAAAATCTTAATCTTCAACAAAACATATCCAAAATATTACTATGAATGTATAAAAAGTATACAATCGCTAAAAAGATCACCAATATTCGTGATTATTTGAGAGTGGTCCATTACTTGATAACTACTGACTACGATAACAAAGAAAAAACATCTTTAAGCCTTAAATGTAGATGTAATACAAAGTTAAATTTTATTTATGTTGCAAGTATTAAGACGGTATATTTTAAACCTCAGTCCTAAATTATTTGAGAACTCATCTGAACATGCACAAACAACTCAACAAACTGTTCGAGTTTACAATCATGGCAATGACAAACAGAACAAGCTTGCATCCTTCTGTGGTTCACTTGGTCACATATTGGGAAATCATAAATTTCAATTATAATGAGGAATTTAGTCATTTAACAAATTTTTCATATTCATAGTGATGGCAACAACAAGCTGGACCTATTTTCATCACTTACTGAGTAATTAATCGCTTGGTCACAAAAATATAAGAAGATTATCTGAGCATGCGCAGTACGCTTGGGCATGCGCAGCACGCTCAAGCATGCAAAGTCCACTTGACCAATTGTCCGAGTTGATAGTCATGGAAACGACCAACTACATTTACTAGCATCAATTAGGGAGTATATAACTTGCTTATTAACAAACTATTAAAGATCTCAACTGAGCATGCGCAGTTAAATTGATTGGCTGCCAATGTTCATGGTCATGGCAACGACCAATTGCATCTACTAGCCCCGATTTTGAAGTAAATAGCATGTTTAGTAACAATTTAATGGAGAAATCATCTGCGCATGCGCTCGAGCATGCGCAGCCCACTCGACTAATTGTTTATAGTCATGGCAACGACTAACTAGATGTACTTGCACTACATCTGGGGCAATTATCCCACTTAATCGCAAATTATCAAAGAAATTATCTGGGCATGCGCAGTTGTGACTTTAATAATACCACAAATTTCGTAAGCCTCTAAATTTTTGTATATATAAATATAAATCTATAGCTTCATATAGTAGATGTCAACTAGCAGTGGAAGCTGGGTGCGATATAGTATGCAGTGGCTTAGGGGTCCACACTTCGGTGGCGACCGCACTCTCCATGCGTACCCCGAGCAAAGCCTATCGCAGGTGATCTCGGGGTCTGATGGGCGGAAGCTTGCTATTGCATCTCCCAAGTAGGATAGCGTGGAGGGGCCGAAATCTGCTACCGAAACGTTAACATGCCGCGTTTTAGTGCCTTACGCTTAAGAAGGTATCGGGAAGCATGGACCGAAAACGGGTTTTTTTCCTTTCAAAATTTGTCTTTTTTCTTTACAAGAATTCTTCTCATAAAAGAAACTAGAACATACTGCCAGGGTTCAGACAACTTCTGAAAATCCCCCGGGCGTAGTTTCGTTTTCTTTGTAAAACGAGAAGAATACTAACTTGAAAACATGAAGACTGGGTGACATAATATTTACCATAAACTAAGACAAGAAATGTTTATTTTACTCTGTGACATCACTTTACTTTAAAGTGAAAGGTTTGAACATGGGAGTATCGTTACATGTTTGTAGATGTAGATCGTCCAGGTTAGTAAAGTCCTGAAAAGAACTGTTGTTGTTGATGCTGACTCTAAAGATGACTACCGCTAAGGTTGTTAAGAAGTCAGTCAACATCAACATCAACAGTCCTTCGCAGGACACCACTAACCTCGACGATCTACATCTACAAACATCTACTTCACTTACTCGGCTATCTTCTTTAATTCAAGACTACAGTGTGTTACATCGTTGTCGACAAAGCTACAATGGAAAATAGGAAAAAAGTTGTACATCGGAAAAGAAAACCATGTCATCAACATAGAAGTGAACAAAAAAATTTCTAACAAACACCGTCAATTTTCGTCAAAATAAAATTTCGTGTATTTTTTCAGTTGTACCTTAAATCCAAAATTTGAGTGGCTGGTGATATGATACTGGTCTGTGATGAAACGGTGAACATTAATTTTGATTATTAAAAAATTATCTACAATGCAATCGTTTGCAATCAATTTCTATATAGCTGCACACCTCTCTATTTAAGCAAGATGTTTGTATAACTTGCACAAACGACTATATTGTGGTATGGAAATAAAGCAGTAGACGTAAAGGTACAAAGTACTGAGAAGAGGGGATATACTTCACGAGGCAAATTGTTGTTTTATATTGTATATGATGACAGGTTGCGGTAAGCCATTTCGGCGTTCCTTTGGCCAGAAAACATAATTGACCGGCAGCCATTTCGTTGATCACGTGCACAAGAAGACATAAGTTACATACAAACAAATGGTAAATTTTGTAAATAGCTTTGGCTGATGGCGGACCAATATACTGTTTGATGTCGGCTCTGTGGGCGAACAAATAGCGAAGTTAGATGAGAAAGTGAATTAAAAAACTTTCGAGTCACAAACATATTTTTCAACCTGTCCACGAACGCAACGTCTATGGCTCTAGTTATGTTCGATGTTGTCAATATAATTACATTAGGATGTCTGAAATAAGAAGAAAACAACATTGGGGAAGACTAGGTTTAGCAAATAAACGCATAAATGTAGTTCAAATCAAGACTTCTGTAAATACGTAATTGATAGATAATAAGTATTTGACTGAGCAAAGTTGTCATCAAGCAAGTTTGTTCATGTCATATAAATATTTTCGTGCTTTTACTCCTGTAAAAGCGACAACATTGTAGAGAAAGAAATAATACATAGTTCTAAAGATAGCAAATACCATAGTGAATGGTAAATGTAATATAATAAGTTGATAAAGACTGTTGTCTTGGCATTATAAATATCGGTAGATTGTAAATTTTCATTCAGCAGACGTTGACACCTGAGGAGTAGTCTGCCGAAATGCATCGTGTCGTTTAATTTAGAACTATTGGGTTAGTGCTCTTTACTTACAACAGTTCTTGTAAGAACTATCAACTTATTATATTACTTTTACCATTTACTATGGTATTTGCTATCTTTAGAACTATTTTCTACAAAGTCTCTATTTTATTAAATAATACATAACGCAACAACCCTGCCGGCTGGCCTCGCCGTTCATATAACCGAATACAATCTCTTAGTTCACTAAAAAATCCATGAGAACGCAATGTTCGCCGAAATGCATATTCTGCTTATATTTTGCATTTACAGTTTTATATGGTCAATTTGAGTGAGAAATGCATTCACAACACGAATGGCATCTGAAGGTTCTTGTCCGTTCAACGCAGATTTTCTTGCCGATGTTAAACTTTCAACCTTCAGAAGTAAAAGATATGGATAGCAAAGGTATTTTCCTTAAACATTACCGACAAGCGTACATGTGCTTCGGGTATTTTGTGAAACAAGAAACACAAATAGTAAATGATTTCTCATCTATCTGACCATGAGCATTAAGAAAGAAATGTTTAAGCAAAGTTTACCTCGTCGATAAGAACGCAAACTAAAGCTTATTTGTCGTCAATAAACTCTTGAATTTTCTGAAACATTTTCATCATTAACTTTCCACTCTGTTTGTAAGGAAAGATAATGTCAATGTACATTTTAAATTACAGATGCTTTTTAATTGGATATGATCATTTTGTGATACGGAACTAGATTTATTAACTTCAACGACATCTCAATCCCAGGTATATAAATGTCAGTTTTCTGAACTGATATTTTGATGTGAGCCGTGCATTTTATATTGACAGGGGGTGACGACAAAGGTTTCACGGAAAATTTATGGCAATGTAATTTTGGTTCCAGAGGATTTTCGCACTCGGTGATGTTGCTTTGAGCTATTCAAAATGATGCCTACCTCGGAAAATAAACTGTGAATGTTTATTTCAATAAGCTGGCCATAGTTAAATCTAAGGATTCAAAAGTAGAAACACACTTTAATTTATAGTTCATAATCCTTAGGTAGACGACAATTTCATTAAAAACAAAGTAAAGATAATGCCAAAAGAACATCTTGTAAACTTAAATAAAAGTTACAAAGCAAAACAATTGAAAGTGTAATATTTACATTTTAATCGTCTTGTTTTCTAAATTTGATGTTGAGTTTACAACATTTTCGGATATAACCTTTTCGGATTATACTTTGTATTTATAATTCACGACATAACAATAAAATTACGTGGCAATATTAGTTGCATTACACACATGGATAGTAATGGATTGCGATTTACGTAACATCAAAATAAAATGTAGTGTTTTTACCTTTAGAAAGTCGTATGGATAATTTTTGAGCAAGCGCCTTGCATAAGGATGTTTCACCAGTACCGGTTGGCTCTGTGAAAGTTTTAAAGAAAAGCTCAACTCATTCTTCTGGATATTTGCAGTAGATCACGTGAAGACAAACATGATGTACTATGAGTGGCTGTTGTTTGATTGGCTTCGTTGTTTGTTTTCGAGTGACGTCACAGCGGTACACAAACATGGTAGCCTTGACGTCATTTAATAGTTGGCTCGTTAAAACACCATCACGTCTCTCGCGTTTCATTCTATATGATTGTAGCTAACTTATTCTTATCAATACTTTGATATGTGATTTTTCAATCTTGAATGTTATGAGTGATAAGAGATTTACTCCGTTAAGATGAGAGTTGTTACAAAGTCAACACACGCAAAAATAGAATCTAATTTGATTCGCAAAAAGATACACGTGACGGACGATGACGCAAGGACTCACGTCTGGTTACCAAGGAAACTAACTTACCATGCAATAAGGTAACTTTATTTCACGAGATGATGTTGAAATCCACGCCTCTAAAATATGATTCAAACACGTGACTAATATATACTTTGAAAATGTCATTGTTTGGGAGTGATTTTAAAAAGATGGAAAAACGAATGATTTTGCAATTTGGCTTCTCTAAAAAGTCTTCAGTTCAATAGTTTCATTTCACACGACAAACCTGTCGGAGAAGAGAAGTGTCGTTGCCGCATATTTTAGCAACTAAAAAAATAAGATAAAAATGAGATACATGAAATATCATAGTCATGGCACGACATATACTTTCGTAAATAAATTAGAACAACAAAATTTTTAACATTTTTAATCGATATAACTCGCTAGAAT